TGATAATCTACTGTCTGATGTTCAGAATGGGCTGATAATCGATTATCACACTCTGATAATCGATTATCAAACTTCAGAGAGGGCTGATAGTCGATTATCACATTCTGATAATCGACTGTTGCTCAGCTTTGTTACAAAAATCTGCAGAACGATGAATAATCGATTTTCAAGTTGATAATCGATTATCCATCGTCTTCTACCTCGAGCCAACTTGCGGAAATGTCACTTTTACTCACCAAACTTCAATTAAAGTATATAAAAATGTTCTCCAAGGTTCATGGATCATTTTAGCATCATTAATTCATAATTTTAACATCAATTTCATGGTTTATGATTCTTAGTTCTTCAAGTATGTCAAACACAAAACTCAACCAAATGACCATTTATGAACGTAGAAACGACCTATATGAACATTCTAGTCCTTAGATATATCTAGAGGCTTACCTTAATGTTAAACGATGATTCCGGTGAAAAGACGGCGAAACTTCCGGCGACAAAAGCTCTCAACTCCGGCGACCTCTCTCTGAAATGGAAACACCAGCAAGCTCTCCTCTCTCAAGGCAAAAGAATAGAGAGAATTTTGGGATGATTTGGTGAAGAATTGAGGGAATAAAGATTTCTTAAATAGAGGATGGAAGGAGAAGAAGACATGGATGAAATATTCCTGAGTCACCAAAATCGGATAGTGCGCCGTTTGTACAGTGAGCGCCGATTGGAGTGTAGTCCCTGATTGGGACTAATTTCTGGTCCCAATTGGGGTACACTTTCTGGTCCAACTTTCTCCAAATTGAAATACGATTGAACCGTTGCGATCAGACAGTCGAGCTCTATCCAACGATATACTTTTCATAATTATTTGTAATACTTTTTCCGATATCATATTTTTGGGTGTTTGACTTTAACAGAGTCAAAATTGGTTTAATTGACCTTTCTCATAAAAGGTTCTCTCATTTAATTCATATCAATTATTCTTATGATTTATTTGAATAAATCATTACAAAGTTCACATCATAATTAATTAATTTATTTATTCTTGATTTGGGTCTGTACTCAGGTTCCCAATCAAGACCACACAAATAGTCCACATATTGGATTTATCTCAATTAGACTTATCCAGATTTTGATATTGGATATAAAAAAAATATTTCATATCGGCCCAAAGCCCAATAATAATCAAAACAAATTTGTTTAATCGAATAATTATTTAATAATAATTCTAGGGTATGTTTCGGGGCGTTACAGTGTTAGAGATAGATGGAGTAAAATTCACCTGGAATAATTCCACCATTTATTTTGTCGTCGTATGATGATGGATAATAACCCAATACTAATCGGGCCAACAAGACTACCCCCGGGGGATGGGCAATTCGAGATCGCCTGGTCTATCGCCCGAGTGATGAGCTATTTGGATAGCATGACTTGTCCTTGGAGGAATATTTTGGCCACACAACATTTCGAAGCTCACATTGTCGTAACCTGGGGGGATGGGTTATTCAGTAGGACGGGTTATCCCCCATAGCCCATCCAAGATGCATGCCATCTCAGGGTGAAGTAAGATTGCCCGTCATGGATATATTCCGGTATATATCTATGACTTGTGCTAGGAATTGTTTGTCAACGGAGAAGTTGATCAAGTCATCAATATAGCCCGACCTATGTTAATAGCCCAACCTATTTAATAGCCCGGGTGATGATCCAATCGCGTAACAGATCAAGTGGACGACAAGCAACTCAGGAACCACGTGAAGAGTATGACCATAGACCCCTGGGAGCACAGACAAGGCACCACGCACAACCCGAGGAATGACATTGGGGATCATCCGTGCGATATGATAGAAGGGACGAGCATCCGGCACACATTGAATTACCCCACGAGTGAATATAGCTCGGGCTATGGCTTCTAGACCGAGTGATGGGTCATTACAGGCACAACGGAAAGAATGCACAAACAGTGCACAACAAGCTGGCCAACGTATGGAGGTAGCCTGGGCTATAGCTTATAGCCCGGATGATGGGCCATTCTATCTACATTCTGCCATATTAGCACGGCCCCGAGCTACAACTTATTGCTCGGGTGATGGGTCATGAGACCGATGATGTAATGATTGAAGTCGAGCACTAGGGCCTAAGCAAGCGTGCTCCAGCTGCCAAATTCCAAAGAGATTGATCAATCAAAGGGTGACAGAGACATGACTATAGTAGATGTGACCTCCCACGTGGCTAGAGTAGACGTGACATTTTAAATAGCTAGAGTGGTTGTTATGGTAGCTCTTAATTTCTTAGTATAAATACTCATGTAGAATTTCATGGAAGGATTTCGGAGGCCCAACACTCCAAGGCATATAGCAATGTACTATTTCTCTCTCAACTCACTCCCCTCTATAGCAAGAGAATTTTGCCATTAACTTTCAAGCCACCATCTTGTAGTGTGTACACCATTTAATATCTCCCGCAATTTTCTTTCAGTTAGGTTTCTATGTAAACATCCATGTGTTCATATTTTTGTTGTTAGTTGTGTGACCTAGCTTTTTGTTCTAGACCCGATCTAGAGTAATAAGTTTGGTTCAGATTATTTACACCATCACGCAATAAAGGTATTTTTTAAAAAATTATTAGGTAATTATCCACTCTCCAACGATGAACCAAAAAGACTATATAAAAATGAGATTATTTTTTAAAGAACTCATAAACTAAAATTATTACTGATGGGTGTATTCCATCCAAGACCGGTCCACGGCTGGGTCCACAATGTCTGACCGATCAAATGATAAATTATTGGAATAAAAGAATTATACGACAAAAGTTTATACCGATCGGTGTCAGAAAGCCGATCGGTACGCTTCAACTCTTTTACCAGTCAAATTATGAAGCTTGTTCTGGTCATCTCCAATCTCCATAAATCTATCATGCGTAAACCTAACCGGTAGGGGTTCTATGGCTGGGAAGTGTCGGCACGAAAGGATCCAAGGGGGTTGGACGGTAGCGACTGAATTCAATGAAAGATCACCGAAGATATTCACACAACCTATCCAACACGCTACACGACAAGGATGTCATCATCATAGTAAGATGACAAGAGAATAAAGGTATAAGACAACCCACCAAGGGACAAAGGCAATCATCTCGTGCCATCCAGGAACGTGGCCTGATGAGGATGTGCGGCGCCTTGTCCCATCTAGAACACTTGATCCAAATTTAATCTCTCCAGAATTTATGTTGTAATAACTTCTGACACTTTCTTGCATACTTAATAACAATTAGATTACAAGTGCTTCCATCTACAATGCTACCGGTCACTATTACTTTCCACACTTCATTACTTTCTAAGCTTAACAAATTATTCTAAACCGGTCTAGTTTGCGTGATGGTTAATTTACACCATCAATTACACATAAGTTTTCTTTGAAATTAAATCCAAATATATTAGGCTTGTTTGAAAGAGGTCTTTAAACCCTAACCTTAAAAAGCTAAGCTCATCCGTATCACGTTCCGGCTTGTCATTCCGCCGACGGGCGCCACCAGCCACCTCACCTGAGTCAGCCGAAAGCTTCAGATTCGAGCGTCTCAGTCACCCAGATTCCCAATTCAGCTGCACGTACTCAGTCATGGAAAATTTAGTTGAGTCAATCGCTTCCATTGATTCATCAGTGACAACTTCATCAACCAAGCGTCGAGTTCAGATCTTCCGAGATGAGATTCCGTCTATTCTGAGCGTTTCAGGTAATCATTTCCATCCCCACACTCTAAAATGCAAGTACCATTTACTGCTTACACTACAGCCACCAATGCACACTTGAGATGTTAGTTTTTCTTTATTAGGCTTGTTACTATTCATCGCGAGTAGTTTGCCAGGCATATAATAATACAAAAAGTTTACGCATTTAGTCATCTGAGCTTATGTGTTGAATAGACTAATGCCAAATATTAGTTGGCTGAATGGCTGGATTTGCTGTTTTTTTCTCTCGAAATGAAAAGCTTTTAGCTACATTCATTTGAATCATTTCCGCCAAATAAGTATGTCAAATGCTAATGATTATGTAGAACAAGTAGAATAAGCTGAATCAGGTTACCAAATGTGCTCTTATATACTGTATTACGAAGTAATAACAAAAATTACAACAACAGTGATGATAGTGCATCCGCCCCACAAAGTCATTTTAGTGAGTTACATTTTTTAGTCCAATAACATTTTTTTAGTTCATCAATTATATTTATATTCTCAGTTTATTTGTTCGTTAAACACTTTTCGCATATCTCAACGTATAATTTTTTAAATTTTTTAGAATTAGTAAAGAGTTCGTATTATATATTTCTGTTTTGTATTAGACTCTTAGCTTTGTTTGTTGACTGTAGTTTGGTAGGAACTGTTATCTGTTACTGTAATATGTGAAACAATAAAGTGCAGAAAATTAAATCAAGGCCTTTTGACTCTTCTTGTCTAAGAGAAGCTCATGCCTCATCCCGGTTAGGCATGCCCCTTGCTTCACGAGGCATATGAAGCTTTTGCCACTAATATTTGCAAAAAATGGCCACCTTTTACATGCCAGAATGTGCACCTTCTTATATAATTGAATCCATAAGATTTCCTTTTCGTGAAACAATATACTTTGGTTATTGTTAGATTAACAAAATCCTAAACTGTATAAAACCCAGAACTTTAGATTTTTATTTTCTTACCCGAATATTTTCTTTTTTCCCCACACACATCTGTTTTATTCGGCTCTAATGGGCTGCTATTTTCTTCTCAATGATTATACCACTGTTTTTTCTATACTCAAATGTATGCTTTCACACGTAGCAACCAGTAACCCATGTTCTTCTCTATTTGATTGGCTGTTCATCAATGACTCCGTGTCAAAGAGATGACTTAGATATTTGATTATTGAATTATTTTATCATGCAATTGTGATTTACCAAGTTTTTTTATTTACAAAACTTATCGTGTGATTCACACATTCTTAAATCACTGATATTTTTAATGCACACCATGTAGAATCTCGAGTTTGACTACCTTGGGTTGGCCATATATATGTATGTATTTATATGTCTGTATATGTATGTATATATATATGTGTGTGTGTGTGTGTATATATATATAAATATATATATGTATATATATGGATCTTACAATCCGTGTCACGATCTTACTATTTAGTATTTACGATCTTTAATTTGTACATCGATCCTATGTAGAATCTCGAGTTTGACTAACCTTATTAAATGGGTGTAAAATAGGCATTTACTCACCGTAAAGATATAAAACCAAGATAAATTAGAGACACTTAGAGAATGTCTGGGTGTGATCTTGTGGGTAAAGTGATTTTCAAAAAAGGTGAAAGCAAAATCATCTTTTATTTGCTTCTCCGTAATGGTGTTCTATGTGCAAAATAGTGGTTAAGAAAAGCAGAAGTTGACATGCCAAACAAAATAAAATGGCTACTACCCAAAGTAGAAGCTAAAATCTTAAAAGCACCACATTGCCAAGCACCCTCCTACTCTTAAGATACATGGCTGAGTAATCTCAATAAGAAAGTAATATTAGGAAAGAGAAGCAGAGTATTGTTTCAGACTTTTGTTAACTCTAAGACCAGGTAGAACAAAGCTATTTTAGTTGTTGATTCAGCTCAAGGAGAGTTGATGAAACCTATGCGGGTTTCTGATCTAGTTAATATTTGAAAAAATAGGAGTCAAAGATGATGGTAGATTGCGCAAGCCGCTGGGATTCCGGTGTTTCAACGGTCTAACACGTTGATCCATACAAGTATACCTAATTACCGATCTTATTAGCCATTTAGATTTCAATTCTGTTGGCGATCCTTAAACTCGTACAATTCTATGATTTGAATTGCGAGTTAGACTACCTTGGTTACACCTATACACATCTATCCCTCTTTTGAATTAAAATTCATAATTACTTTCTTGTAAACCGGAGCCTTACGATTCTATACGGAGCACTATGTAGGCTTGCAATAATGTTCTCCTTATATTATTACTTCTTTAGATAGTTGGAAAAGAAGTTGGCCAATGATTTTGGAACAATTGAAAGGCCCATTGACAGGGATATTAGTTAACCATAAAAGCCCATTCTTTCAGTATTTTTCTGCAAAATTTCTACTTGCAATTATTCTCTCTCCGTCTTCAGAATGTCACATTATGATTAATGAAGTTTGACCAAAATTATTTGCAATTCCATTTATTAAAATTGACATAGAATTTTTTTGATGTTTAAATCAACATCAAATGATCTACAAAAGAAAAGATAACATGATTATATTACGTAGTACTTTGACAAATGGTCAATGAAAATATGCAAAGAAAGATGATAAAGTCTTACTCGTGAATTGTGGTTGACATTCTTTTGGGGACGGAGGGAGTATTGTTTATCTTTCATGGTTCAAATGCTGATGTTATTTTTTTAAATGCAGAAATGACGACTGAGATTGCATCTATGTTGGTAGATTTAATTTTCAAGACGTTGTTTATTTATGATGATCGAAGTTCATGGAAAGCAGTAGATGATTTAGTAATAAAATGTCTGAGAGAAGTAGCATTTATGAAGAGTTTTGCAGCAATCCTTGTACAGGTTATGGAAAAGACTGTAAAGTTTCAGTCACATATAGTCTGTCACAGACTTTGGAAGTGGTCCTGTTTCCTCCTGACTGAAAGCGAGTTTATCTTAGCATCAAAGAGTGCATTTTGTAGAGTAGCTCAAGTCCAAGCATCAATTCTCCATATTGGCATGCAAGGATCACCTCGTGTTAGAAGAGCTTGCAAACAATGTGTTTTCTTTTTGTTCTCGAAGGTCTCTTTTCCTAAAGCAGTTAGTTACTTGACTTATTCTTGTTTGATGCATACCTTATAGAGATCTTTAACTTTTTTTAATAATCTTTCAGTCACCTCATATTTATGAGAGTTATATGGAAGAACTTATAAATTCAAGGATTCCATATAAGGATTGTCCCGAAATTCTTCTGTTGATGCTAGAATTCTCAACACTCAAATCATCTCTATTTGATAAGTGGAAGGTTAGTATTGGTTATTGGTCTATTACATCATCGGGGATGATAAGAATTTGTTTCATACAGATGTAACCCTAATATTTTAGCCGGTTAAGCATATTCCTTGTGGCTGTAACTACAAAAAATGGGTCTACAGGGCACTTGTTTCACCACTTCAATTGTGTAATCTTTGTTTCCTGTTTTATACAGCAAACATTTCTTGATATGTACACCAAATCAGTTCTAAATGCAAGAGAAAAACCACCCAAGGACCTCAGTCAGGCGTTTGTTCCATTATTTGCTCGTCTGTCTCATGAAGATTTTCAAAATACTGTTATCCCACTGTCTGTCAAGATGTTAAAACGAAACCCCGAGCTTATTTTGGAATCGGTTGCAGTCCTAATGCAGTCGGCCAAACTTGACCTGAGCAAATATGCTCTGGAGATGCTTTCAGTGGTGTTAACACAGGCAAGGCATGCTGACGAAGGAAGAAGAACTACTGCCTTATCTATAATACGATGCTTGAGCACGAAGTCTAGCAGTCCAGATGCTCTAGAAGAAATGTTCAATGCAGTCAAATCTGTATTGGGAGGTTAGTTTTATAACTTTAATTTGGGGATAATTTATTTAGAAATTGGTTTTTAAAATGTTAGCTTAGGCAACTGATGCAATGACGCTTGATTAGTTTCGAAACTTTGGCAGGTTCTGAAGGAAGGCTTACGTTTCCTTACCAGAGAGTTGGTATGATCAGTGCACTGCAAGAAATGTCCAATGCCTCTGAAGGAAAATATTTTACCAGCTTATCAAGGAATGTTTGTAGCTTTCTTTTATGTTGTTATAAGGATGATGGTATGTTTGACTTAAGTTACTTTTTGTTTGTTTGTAAGTGTGCCATGTGCTTATCATTTCTTCATGTGTTCCCTTAAATATGTGTACATAAGGTCTACTCATTTCACAGGATACACATTCAATCATTTTCAGTTCATTTATATATGTTTTGTGCTTTTGCTATGTATGAATACCCAGGCAATGAAGACGTAAAGCTTGCAGTTCTAGCTTGTTTTGCTTCTTGGTTATCAAGGTGTGCGGATGCCATTGATCAAGATGTTGTTTCCTTCATTGCATCTGGGCTGAAAGATAAGGAAACATTGAGGAAAGGCCATCTTCGTTGTGTCCGACTAATTTGCAAAAACATTGATGCCGTTCCTCGGGTAAAAAGAAATGTTTATCTTTTTATCTGACTCATTGTATTGCAGGTTTTTTTTGCTTCCCTTATAATCTAATTAGATGATTTTCATTGTGCTTGTTGTAGATTTCATCTTTGCTGGCACCTCTTCTCCAGCTTGTTAAAACAGGTTTCACCAAAGTAGCACAACGATTGGATGGAATTTATTCACTTTTCTGTGTGGCAAAAATTTCTTCCATAGATGTTAAAGCAGGTTTCATTTGGATTTCTGACTTCAACCTGTGTGTGTGTGTGTGTGTGTTTTCTCAAAAGCACTTCCTTACCTTTGTGATTCCATTTCTCTAGATGAGATTGCATCGAAGGAAAAGATTTGGTCTTTAATATCACAGAATGAGCCTTCATTGCTACCAATTTCTATGGTAAATGTTCAGCAAATACTTTCTACTATTTCATGCCACATTTACTTTTCATAATTGCTGGAACTGTTGGTTAAGAGCAATCAGTATATAGCTGAGCCTTCCCTTTCTTCAGTACATTTCACTCACGTCCACAGGTCTCAAAGTTATCAACAGAGGACTGCATGGCATGTCATGACCTTTTTGAGACCCTTCTGATTGATCATCCCCAGAGGTTAGTTTTGTTATTGATAATATAGGCAACATTGTCATTGAGCAATAAAAATGAATCTTTGTCTTTTCTTATCTTACGCAGGATGATGGAGACTTATCCCTTGAGCACATTTGTACAGGTTAATTTCTTATACACACGAACATCATCCATCTTTATAGTTTTTTCCGCTAATTGTTATCCAATTCTGTGCAGATCATTTTGTTTCTTCTTTGTCATCCAAGTTGGGCTGTCAGGAAGGCAGCTTATGAATCTGTTAAGAAAATTATTGTTGCTATTCCACAGTTATCTGCATCTACAATGCTTGGCTTTTACAATTATCTCTCAATGGTTAGTGAAAAGACTCTTCTTTTGAAGACAAGGTGAGTTTCAACACTACAATGGCTCTTGCTTGCATCAAATTTAGTAGCTATCAGTCTATCAAAAGTTGTTAAGCCAAAAGTTAGTGGATCATGCCTCGAGGTGTTTGGGTAGCGTGTTGGGCTGCGATCATGTTCACTAATTGTGGCTATCTATAGTCAAAATCCAATTCATTTTAGGGTGTGAGTGTGTGACTAAGGCCCCGTTTTCTTCAGCTTATTTTTTTTTTTACTTTTTGCTTATTCTTATTGGGATTATATTAGATTAGATCAGATCTTAAAAAAATAAGATTAGAACCAATGAGATAAGGTGAAGAGAACAGAGCCTAAATCCACACCCTAAATGACGAAATCCACACCTTCCGTTGAAATTTGCAAAATCCACTCCGTAAATGTCAACCATTATATTTATATGAGCGAGTGGATTTAGAAAATGTGGGTGGAGGGAGTGGATATTGTCCTACCCTTCTCTTTATGACACTGTTAGCCTATTAGAGATTACAGAAAAAGTAAAACTGCTGAAAAAATCCAAGATGAGCTATGCTAACTTGAAATGGAACTCCAAATTTATTGGGGGAACTGCTCTTATACCAACAAAGTTCTTTTGATAAAGCCTGCTTTTTCATAATGCATGACATATTACATATTTGATCCTAAATCTTTGATATATTTTTGAAAATCTGGACACGATGATGTTAGATTTCCTTTTGTTCGATTTGTTTGTTGTGGTGGAAAAGAATACCAAGTGTGGTCTTTCAGATAGGACTTTTGTCTATCATTGATAAAGTAAGAGTGCAGACTGCGGTGTATCAATCATGTTCACCGCAAAGATGCAGTTGCACTAGTGAGATGGGTGGAGCACGTTTTGGTTGAGGGGGTGGGTGAGAAGAGGAGCAGACTAGGGAGGATGTGGGATGCGTAGCTGAAAATGGAATGGGCAGCCTCAAACCTCTCCCTCATCAACTCTTGTAATATTTTTAGTCATGGTTGTTAAACTTTAAATTATACGCAGGTTCGATATACGAAGTAAATATCGTAAATCGTAATACCCTAACACAGATCGTAAGCCAAAACTTTAAGTTACACATATGACACAGATTGCTTTTGTTCATTACTTATTTTAGATATTTGAATCTCATAAGCCAAAAAAAAGTATTCAAGCAACAACCAGTTGGATCCCACGGAAGTAGGGTCTGTGGGGGGGGGGACCTTAGCCCTACTTGAAAGTAGGGAGGCTGTTTCCAAGAGAGTCGACCCCTGGCTCAAGTAACACAAATAGCACAAGAACACAGAAGACACCTACTGCAGAGAAAGCACAGACCACAAAAAACCAAGAACAAACTAACTTGGGCAAGGCACACTAAGCATTGTAAGCATAAAGCGTAAAAACGTAAAGCACCAATCATAAAAAGTACACAACAACAAGTGTGAATACTACCACCAAGCCCAAATTGCCTACCCAACTACCCTAATCCTAGCTCTCCAAACATTCCTATCTAAGGTCATATCTTCAGTAAGGGCCAGAAGTCCTAGGTCCTGCAAGTATATATTTGTTTATTGCTTCTACTTATTGCTTATGTTTACCACTTATCAGAAGTGATTGAAAACACTCCTAGTATGTGTAAAGTGTAAAGAAATGCTTTTGAGTTATGTAGAAAAATATTTTACTTCCTCTTTTCCCATTTCAAGTATAGTTTTACTTTTGAAGGATCTATAGAGACATAATATCCATGCATACCTGGCCTTCTGAAAGCTTTGTAATCAGTGACAAATTTCATTAAATGGTGGAAAGGAGGTGTGAAAATAAGATTCTACATTTAGTTATTAATTCAATCCCCATAGAAATCAGTTAACTTGTCTGGAGAAATTAATAGAATAGGAAAGGGCACATAGGACACACACCTTTCCTTTTTCTATTCTGTTTACACTGTTGACGAAATTACATTTTTGTAACCGAGCCTCTTATTTATGTTCTTTTAAGTGTCCTTTGGGCTTCATATATTCCACATGGACTATTTAGCCACGTCCTTAAATTTGGCCAAACATACTTCATTTGGAGATGTCATGGACCCTGACACTGTGGGGCTTTTCAGTAGTGCCTATTGAAACAAGTTGATGTTATTGAACTGATATTGAGTTGAATGATTCTGGACTGAACTCACTGCAGTGTGATTGCATAGTAATTTTCAGCTAAAGTGCACTGAATTGATCTGAACTGAATGGTTTTGATTTGAACAGTACTGAAAATATCAGTTTCACGAAGACTGGAATAAAACGGGGCGGGGGAGCAAACGGGGAAACACCAAATTTCCAAATTTACAAAGTATTTGGGGGTGGAGACATCTCCAAGTACCCAAATGGAAACATTTTGAGGACATAAAGCGGCACTTACCTTGAAGAATTTGTGCAACATAGCTGAAAATAAGTTTTATTAAAGGGCCCCTACATGTTTTAAGTCACATCCAAAAGTTCATCCGATTTTTGTAATGCCTATCCAAGTTTTGCAACTTCTCTTTGATTATGCTTTAGGCTTTACCTATTCATTCTTTTAAACATGGGCAGAAATCAACTATTATTGCTTAGGGTTTTGCTAGGATTAAATTCATTAACTGATTCCAGTAACTGATAAGTGATAGTCCCTAAATTCTGGTCAGTTGTCATTCCATTTATTGAGAAGTTTCATGCTTATTAATTTATATGGGAGTTATAGCATGTTGTCATGTGTTTTTTTGATCACTGTTATTACCTATGCATATGCTTGTAGTGACACAGACAGCACATTGGAAAACCTAATTCCAACCCTTCCATCAGTTGAGGTTCTAATCAAGGCTTTAGTTACCTTATTGCCAGCAACTTTATTGGCTGCGCCACATGTTTGCATGCAAATTTTGCTTTGTTCACATCATCCATGTCTCATTGGCTCAGCAAATAGAAATGCAGTATGGAGGGTAAACACTTTGTCATTTTGGTTTCTCTCTGGATGTGTGTATGTGTGTGTCTGTGTATGTATGAATGCATGTATTTATTTATTAATCAAGTTAGTGACTGAACAGAATAATTTCTCTTGTTTTTAGTACTCACTCTGTCCCACAATGAAACATACTCTTTCCATTTTCGTTTGCCATAAAGTTTACATTTTTTTATTTCCTTTTTAGGAATGAAAGGGCTCAAAATATTTCTCTCTTTGGAACAAATTTCAACCACCTACTTTTCATTTTTCAACATTTTCTTAAACTCACTGAAGTCAAATCTTAAACTTCTTTGTGGGACGGAGGGAGTATTTTCTTATGCCTAATGTGTATGACTTGGTGTAGAGGTAAGGTCTCCTCACAGTTTGCCCCAAGACCTTATTCTTGAGCGGTATATACTGTATAGTCAGTTTGTTTGGTGTGATTTGGCTTAGTGTCTTTGACTTGCCTGTGGAAAATAGTTGAACGTTTTCTTTAATCTCCTAATGGTTTATACTCTTTAGCAGTATATTACATGTTTGGTAGTTTCTTCATATTTATCTTCTTCACTCTTTATTCTCAGAGGGTGCACAAGTGTTTACAGAAGCAAGGTATTGATGCTGTTAATCTCCTTACCATTGATGTTGCTTCTCTGTGTCAGGTGAATAACTTACGCTTTATCATGTAGACTGTTCGCTTAGGCCATTGCTGATTGCCGACTTCCATAAAACCCAATTTTCTTTGTGATGCTTTGCAGGGTTTGCTGGGCTCTAGGGGCCTGATGAGTGGAAATCATTTTGAGCAAGAAGCAGCAATAAACTCATTTTTTACTCTGATGTCTATAATTCCTGGAGATACTTATGCTGAATTTGTTAAGGTTACCTGCTTTGATATTGTGTATATAGTTTTTTCTTATATCATGAGTCATTAGTGAAGTTCTAAGTTAATTAGATTAAATTTACATGTACTGAGAGGGGCAAAAGAGAAATTATGATGTTGAGGCTTCATGAGCACGTGTTGCATGACCTAAAAGAGTAGAAGATGTTGGTGGATGACCTTGGTAGCTAATCCCATTGGTTTGGGATTAAAGCTCATTTGTTGTTGTTGGTGATGGTGTAAGTTTATTAGAGTTGAAACTTGTCTTTTGTCTTCTGCAGAACTTTATCAACCTTCCAGACCGTCTTGCACATGATATGTTCTCCGAAAAAGATATTCAGGTCAATTCTCAAAGCTGAGTATTTGTACATTAGTATGAAATGAAAATTGTAACGTATCATATCGTTTGCACTTTGCACCATAAATGCCAAATCTAATCGATGCCATGTATCTTTTCATTTTCACGTTTATTTACCAGCTGTTATAATCATTGTAAGTATATGTATTTTGAAGAGTTTTCTCCTTTTTTTCCAGATCTTCCGTACTCCTGAAGGGATGCTTTCTACTGAACTTGGTGTTTTTATTGCTGAATCCGTTTCAGCTAAGAACACGAAACAACCAAAAGGCCGTTTCCGTGCGTATGAGAGCATCGATGAATTGGTGACTGCATTTGTCTCTTGTCTTTCTTAGATATTTAGGTATGGTCTTTTCCCTCAGCTTTCTTCATTAAAGTTTCCCTTGCAACAGGAAAAAGAAAATTCAAATCGTGTGCCAAAACCTGAAATTTCTAGCAAAGATATGAATGGGAGAAAAGATGGTGGGAAGTTAACTAAGAAATCCGGTAGGTCATCTTGCTATCTTTGTTTGCCGCGTTCAAGTGCACTTGTATAATTTTATGGTAAAACAACAACAAACACCAACAAATCCTGTGTATTCCCCCTAGTGTGGATAGTCGGATATTACTACCTCGAAGTAATTGTGTTATAATATATCCTAAAAATTCCAATTTGTTGTTGCCTATAACAATTTTCTTGACTTAAATTATATTTTTTCCGTATTTTTAGAAAAGGATAAGGTAAAGACTGCTAAGGAAGAGGCACGTGAGATGCAGCTTAGGGAGGAAGCCAGCATCCGTGAAAGAGTCATAGTCGTGCAAAATAATATTTCTTCAATGCTGAAAGCTCTGGGGGAAATGGCCATAGCTAATCGGGTCTTTGCACACTGCCAGCTACCTTCTATGGTTAGTATTCTATTGTCAACTTTTGAATTCACATCTAGATAAGGTTGACATTCAGTAGAAATGTGTGGCATGCCTTGTTGCATGGTCACACTGAAAAGAGCCAGAGACAGGTCGGAAAATAGCTTATATATAGTCAGTAATTGTTTTGCATTGTTCTGCACTGACAAAGCCATTGTAGTAGTTTAGCACTATATCACTATGGCATCAGAGTCTGTGACTCTAGGTAGGAATAGGATGTCTAGTGTCATAAGGTTAACCCTCATTCACTGTATGCATGAAGAACTTTGTCATATATACTACTCCTTCCGTCTGTCCACAAAAAAGTTCCACAATGCAACTGTCACGGTTATGTGAAAGGTTGTGGTTAGAATTAATGCAGAGGAGATAGAAACAATATGAGCCACATAAGTTTTCTTTTAAAGGAAGGAAAGTGGAGCCTTATTTTGGAACAAACAGAAAAGGAAACATGGAACCTTTTTATTGGACAATTGGGGGGGGGGTACTATACTACTATGGTATGCTGTTATGAATTTTATTTGTAATTATAAATTTACAATATTATACTTCTTAAACTATTTCTTCACTTTTATGTTTGGAAAACCAAGGAAAAAACAATTCCTGTTCCGCTCCTTGTCTGGAACACTATGGAACAGGACATGCCCAATTATGAAAAGCTTTTAAAATAAGGACATATTGGTAGTTTGTGAGTGAAATATGAGGACACAAGCAAAATTTCACTTCCTGTCCTAATGCTGAACTGCTAGTGTTTAGTAATTAGATCCACCAATTTTGGTGGAACTAGAAACCAGCTCGTAGTTCTGTGGATCCATCCGGATTGTTATATTCTAAAGCGTGAATATAGAATAAAATAAAATAACATGTTCTCGAAACAAATTCTGAATATCCAGTTTGTTTTTTTAAAGGAATTAAAAACAGAAAAAATAACGATGAGATATAATATTCTCGATGCTTAGTTGCTTCTTTTCTCTTGAATGAAAAAGCTTACTCATAGGTGTGCCTTTTCACTGTGATTACAGGTGAAACTTATTGATCCTCTACTACCCTCACCAGTTGTTGGTGATGTGGCATATGCTGTGCTGGTGAAGGTATCAAAGTGTGTTGCTCCTCCTCTCTCCAACTGGGCGCTTGAAATTGCCACTGCTTTGAGGCTTATCAAGACAGAGGAACCTAATGTCTTATGGGCACTATTTCCATCAGCTAGTGAGGAGGCTAATGAAAATCCTGGTCTTTTTGAGCAAGTAGTAAATGGATTATCATTTTCTTGTAATTCTGAGCCTCTTCCTGTGGATTCATTTACTTTTGTTTTCCCAGTAAGTAATTTTGTTTTTTGAGCAGACCTGATTAGGCTTGTTATCTGATTCTTATAACCCTGCATGATACTCTCAGCCTTTTTTTTGTTTCATTTCGCTTTTCTTCTGTGGTGCAGATAATGGAGAGGATATTGCTAGCTTCCAAGAAGACAAGGCTGCACGAAGATGTCCTCCGCATAATTTTCTTGCATTTGGACCCTGCATTACCCCTTCCAAGGATTAGAATGCTATCAGTTACTACCTTGGGCTCTGGTTCATATGCCATTTTGTTTTTTTGTTTGTCCTTATTTTGTTATCTAATTGGAATGTTTCTATTGCTTGTTCTATCATCTGCAGGCTCTTTATCATGTTCTTGGTTGTGTTCCTGCTTATCAAGCTTCCATTGGACCATCACTAAATGAATTATGTCTAGGTTTGACTGCAGCAGAAGTTGCCCCTGTATGTGCTGTGGATATTCATTTTTTCTTCAGACTGGCATGTAAATCACCATCTCACTCATGTTGCTTCATTCTCTCCGCAGGCCCTCTCAGGTATTTATGCAAAAGATGTCAATGTAAGAATGGCGTGCTTGAATGCAGCGAAATGCATTCCTGCTATTGCAGGCCACTCTATTCCTCAAAATGTCAAAGTTGCAACCAACATATGGCTTGCTTTACATGACCCTGAAAAGGTATACCATTTGTTCATTGATTTTTTTTGTCATGTGGGTTGCTTTCCGAGTTTGTGAGATTGGTATCTATTAGCTGGTTGTTTTATCTTAATTTCCTATAAAAGGGTTTCAATGATCATCATTGTTAAGCCGTTGACTAGTCGTCTGGTCAGACGGGAAGGAGTTACTAGGGCCTGCATTTGGACTTTTTGATGACTGGTTGTCCGGTGGGCGATGAGTTGTCTTGGGCAACGATGTGAAGGAGCATACATGCATACTCTGTAATCCCTATTTTGACCTGACGCATTTCATCTTAATGTTTAATACACTTTAACCCACAGACAGATCACACAGGACACCATGGCTCATCACCACATGCCGCCATAGCTGTCCACCTTCGCCTTTTGTTTTCCAACTTCAGTCTTTGTCCGGTGGGCGATGAGTTGTCTTGGGCAACGATGTGAAGGAGCACACATGCATACTCTGTAATCCCTATTTTGACCTGACGCATTTCATCTTAATGTTTAATACACTTTAACCCACATACAGATCACACAGGACACCATGGCTCATCACCACATGCCGCCATAGCTGTCCACCTTCGCCTTTTGTTTTCCAACTTCAGTCTTTGTGTTAATTTTAGAATTTTCATTTTGCTAGTTACTACTTTGAGATTTATTATTAAGATTTTTTTGGAAAGGTTATTATTATATTTATATTTATGTTTTTTATATATGCATGTCCAATGCAAATAGAGTTCAAATATTATTGATAATGTTTAAGATTCAGGCAAATAACGGTCTAAATATAAATGTCTTTTTAAACTTCCTTTCTTACTTTTTATTAAGTCTACGGAAGCAAATGCAGTGATGCATCAAGGGTCTAGAAGAGATAGCCTCTTTATTTATCACATGAGTAAGACTGCGTACATCTTGACCTTCACACTGCAATGGAGTTGGAATTTCATTGAAATGTTGTTGTGTATGGGTATTGAGATATTCACTTACACACACACACGCACACACACACTATAATGACTCCCTCTGGCCCAATTTGATGCGCCTATTTTGACTAGGCGCGATTATCATGGAAGCAAAATGTATGGTTGATATTTTGCAGAGTAGAGAACCAATATGGACAACATTTTGCTTTCTATAAATGGACACAATGCAAGCAATTGGGACAGGCCAAAAAGGGAATAGTCACAATGAAATGAGATGGAAGCAGTCATCGACAAATTGTTGACAAGTCCGCCAGTGAGTTTGCCGGTGACTCCACATGATAACCATGTCACTGTCTCACTGATCATTGGATATCAGATTTTATAGTATTAGGACCAACGTTGATGTAGGGTCTAAACTTTCAATTACTGGTAATAAGATAGATATGAAGTCCTCAAGGAACTTGTGACTAAAGATTTGTTTTTTTCCTTTTCATCTCATCAAAACAGCCAACTAGAATGAGACAGGACTAGACATCCAGCTTCAAAGTTATTAAGGAGATTGTGCTCATCCTCCCCATTGTGTGGGTGCATCATCTGCATGGAATCCACTAGTTCATGTTGATGGTTTCAGTCTAGTTTTTTTCCAGTATTGTATTGTGTTTTCTAGATAGTGCCAACAACAACCAACCCAATAAAGTCCCACGAGTAGAGTCTGGGATCTTTTTCTTCTAGAAAATACCAATTTACTAAAATAAAAATAAAAAATAGCTGAGTGTGCATTGTAAAAACTTGTGGTTTTTGCAGTCGGTTGCTGAAGCTGCAGAAGACATATGGGATCACTATGGATATGACTTGGGAACTGATTATTCAGGAATCTTCGAAGCCCTTTCAAACATCAATTTTAATGTTAGAGTTGCCGCTGCTGAAGCATTAGCTGCTGCTTTAGACGAAAATCCTGACACTATACAGGTGATTTTACATAACTTTGTTGCATTATGGAAAACCACACTTATTTTTAACCTAACATTTTTTTTGCAATGATTTGGTTATTAATATAGGAGTCACTATCAACTTTATTCTCTTTGTATATCCGTGATGCTGGATTTGGTGAGGACATTATTGATGCTGGCTGGATAGGCAGGCAAGGGATAGCATTGGCTTTACACTCAGTTGCGGATGTGCTTAAGACCAAAGATCTGCCTGTTGTCATTACATTCCTAATATCAAGGGCTCTGGTAATCATTCTCTTTACTGTTATGAACAAGGCTCTTTCACATTGTACTTGGTGATGCCTGTGCTCCTTATGAGGAACAGTGGTACATGTTATTATCCGATGCGTAGCTATTGTTGTTTAAAAATGGTACATTGGGATCTTGTTGACATGATTAGATTTATGGTTCAGTTAGAGAATCAAAGTGTGCTAATGGGTGACACTTAGCATGCTAGCATAATCATTTAGACATCTGGTCGACTGTTTAATTTATGGTTCGGTTAAAGAATGCCATTTTCCTACTGGTTGACAATTAATGCACCGGTTTAGTCATACTCAGAAACCTAGGTTACTGGTTTAAGTTTGCATATCTGAATCGCGCACTGAGGTCTGCAAATTGAAGCTTTTTTTTGAGGTCATGCTATTTTTGTTTGTTATATAGACATGCACGCTTTTCTATTTCCAGCATTTGGATTTAGAGATCTTCTATAATGAATAGAAAAAATACTTTTGGGATATTTTGGATCATGCTAATCAAATTGGGAGCTGCAATATTTATTTGAGTTTACAACTTATGTTTTTTAAATCTCAATAGTACGTATTTTTTGGGACATATCTGTAGTCTGACAAAACATATTAATTCCTTTCTGCTTCCTTCTGCTCATACTTATTAAAACAATCTCATGGATCATAACTTTATCGCTCTATGTATTATATATGTATATATGTGTATGTTTATATATATATATTCTATATTACCATTAAATTGAATGGGCACCTATTATTTTTTGTTACAAGATTTTTTATTGCTATTAATGGCTCTGAACTTTGAATAATATGGATGCAACTGAGTTGCAGGCTGATCCCAATGTGGATGTGAGGGGAAGAATGATTAATGCTGGTATACTGATCATTGACAAGCATGGAAATGATAATGTGTCCCTGCTATTCCCAATTTTTGAAAATTACTTGAACAAAAAGGTACAGATCTGGATCCTTTTTCTCATCTTCCTGTGTTTTTTTGTCTAGGTAGCGCTCATTTTTATCTATTACATTTTTGTATTATTTCTTAATTTATGCGAAGTAGTATATTGGCAGCTTACAGTCTCTATTTTTTACCTGTTGCTTTACTGAGTTGGTAAGGCAGACATTGTACTCAAGTTCCAAAAAGGCATTCCACCTTGCTCCTTGAGGCGACATCAGTGCCTCTTTTGGGAGAGGAAGCCTTGAGGCTAGGGGCAAGTGCGTTAAGTAGCCACAATTATGCTTATTACGGGGATGGAGTACACACTGACGCATACAAAGGCTTGAGGCATACAACTTAGTTTCTTTAAACGATGATAATTGATAAATACTCCGAAAAATCTGGAGATCTAGGACGGAGGCTTACAACAATTTTCTGTGTTAACCCGAAATGTCTTGAGGCTTATGCCTTATGCACTGATGACTAAATGCCTCGAACTCGCCCTACGCCATTGGAATATTGATTATACTAGAAGAATATGAAAGTAGATCTGATAATTATAAAATGTGTGCATTATCATTCAGGCTTCAGATGAAGAGAAATATGATTTGGTACGTGAAGGCGTTGTGATATTTACTGGTGCCTTGGCAAAACATTTGGCAAAGGTGGGAAATTATTTTATATTGCATTCATGCATATTATCTTAAGTCACAGGCTGGACTGTCATTGTAGTACCCTATTGACTTGTATATTTTTTCACAGGATGATCCAAAGGTTCATGCTGTTGTTGAAAAGTTGTTGGATGTGCTAAACACTCCTTCCGAAGCCGTTCAACGTGCAGTTTCTTCCTGTCTTTCTCCTCTGATGCAATCAAAACAGGTTCTCAAGAGAACTGTTGATTACTGATTGCAAAAAGACTTTTTGTTCATATATTATTTACTACCCTCCGGCCCACTTTATTTGGGAAATGGCCCATGAGACAGTGACACAAATTAAGAAAAGTGGCATTGGGTGGTTGATATTGCCTGTAGAAAGCAAGAATGGATGTGAGCCCCACAAAAATATCCAAATATGTTATGAGACAAAAGTAGTGGGACAGGCAAAAACAGTTAAAGGGGACAAAAATAGTGGCATGGAAGGAGTACATTTTAAGCTCATTATCTAGTAGTACAGGAGAATGTCCAATTGTCCATTTCAAATAATGCAGTTAACCCTTCATGACATCCCACTTATGTTATTTATAAAGGGTTTTTGTCTGATGCACCATGGAAGTGGTGGGTTTTAACATAGCCAGCCAATAATATAATTTGAAAGAGGCCAACATTTTCTACTAGCCCATACTTCAAATATCCTAATGTATACTGTAAAGAGTCAATTGGGATTTAATAATGATTGAAGATATACTCAATCCTCCCTTGCTACTAGGCTCACTCACTTTTTATGGGCATAAACCGACCACGAGAGCAAAATCATCGGTGATTGAGGGTATAAATAATTTTTTAGACCAGCACTATGATACGAACAAACACATTTATAAAAACAGGTTTATGTGCATGAATATGGGTGACACTCCTAGGCTCTGGCACTTGTGGCATATAGAACATGTCTTGTCAAATGAACTCAACAAAATCCAGTTTGGCATCACCTAGACTACATTCCAGATGTGCTTGTGCATCTTATTTAGCCCATTTTCGTGTTCAATGGAATATACAATATTGGCTAATATATTTTCTTTTTTGTCACTTTTAACATTCTGCAAACTTCTCTGGCCAGCCAGAAGTGAAACAAAACAAAGTTCTTCTAGTTTTTCTTCATTGTAATTGTATTATTTAATTCTGAATGTTTTTTTCTTGACTATTTTCTGTATCCCTCTCCCAGTACTCTCTGATCTGATACTGTTTCTTTTTGTTGTTTTCTCCATTTCCAATCATGCAGGAGGATGCACCTGGTCTTATTTCTAGGCTTCTAGATAAATTAATGAAGAGTGACAAATATGGGGAGCGGCGAGGAGCAGCATTTGGACTTGCAGGGGTTGTTAAGGGTTTCAGGATTTCCTGCCTAAAGAAATATGGTATTGTGAAAGCATTGCATGAAGGATTTCTTGACAGGTTAGTTTTGATTATTTTGGGCCTGGCATTTAGTTATGCTTTATTATTTTATCATGTGTCCTGTTTTTTAATAAACAAAAATGTAGGGTTTAAGCATTGCTTTAAAAAAGCCCCAACTAGTCCCAATTTAATTAGAGTCTTTGTTTTGACCGTATTTTCCCTGTTTGGGCCTCACCCAATTTAATTAGAGTCTGCATGGCTTGCGATTATCACCCACCTAAGTGCTACTGCATCAGGTTTTGTCCTGCAGCCTGCATGGCGCCTAATGCTTATACGAAATTGATTTTATGAAAACCTTTTTATTTTGCTCTCCTTTCTCAAGAATGAGATGAGTAAAAACTGGCATGTCAAAATATCATGGCAATGATGTGATGCGTATGCCTCTATGTGAACCTTTTGCAGTTTCCAAGTTTTAACCAACTTTTCTTGGTAAGGGCTGTACTGACAGAGAAGTGTCACTGACTCACTATTATAGACTTCTAGTGGGATCCACATCAGAATCTATTTTGCAATCAAATATTGTTAAGAAGTACTCCCTCCGTCCTAAAACTTTCTTCCCGTTGCGCAAAACAAAGAAAAATCCCAAGTTTTTTCAATCTATTTTATTTAAATATTGGTATAGAAATAAAAAATAAAACATACATATTTAAAAACTACATCAAAAGTTCAACAAAACAAGTGGTGACAAGAATATTTTATTTTATCATATAGGCCATGAAAAAACACAAATAAATATAAATTCCCGTGAAATTGGAATAGTGCTTTGGGAAGAAAGTTTTAGGACGGAGGGAGTATGCTTTCTTAGAAGGAATCATCTCATGTGTTTCTCTTAGTTCCTAAGAGCAGCAATAGTTTGTTTTTCTTGATATGTTTTCCTTTTTTTGAATGAAAAGTATTATCCTAGTATTTATATTTATTATATCTCATCATATGGGATGTGGGTAAAATGTAGTCTAAACTCTTAAGATTACACAATTACCATCTTACCTAGATTTCACCAGCCAAACCTATTTTAATCTAGTGCCTATAAAACTGGGAGTCTTTTTTTCTTAATATATAATGATATGCTTTTTATGTGAACCACAAGAAAATAATGTGCAATTTGGCTGTACTCTCTTCACTTGCTCTTATATATCACTTCTCTGTTCCACTATTTTTGGGACAAGAGAAGTGGCACAACGACAACAACAAACCCATTAAAAGGGAGAGGCTATTTCCGTTATACCCTTGACACATTAATGATTTCCTATGCAATTTTTCTTTAGTTCAATATTTATTCAAAGAAATACTGTCAGAATTTGCTTTTTTAGCTTCATTGGCAATGGATGGGGGAAGTGGCTCACAAGTTTTAAAATGGATTTGTGTAGTTGATTTTGAAATGAAGAAGTAAAAATGAGTATGACCCACACCAAAGTTAATAAGTATTGTATGGGACAGAATAATGTGACGAACAAAAAAGCTGAAGGAGACATAAATAGTGGAACTTAGGGAGTAGTATAATAGATTCTGCTTCTTTGGCTGTTCCCGGCCATTATCCAGCTGCAGGGTCTTCACATCCTTACTTTCAATTCCATTAAATGTGTGATAATATGGTTAGCTGTAGTTGAACTTTTGCAACATTATAGTCTTTATCATTTATCTTACTATTGGCGTTCATGGATGAACTGGGCATGCCTAGTTCCAAAGTGTGTTTCATGCTTTGGCATTTCACTAGGCATATTAACTAAAATGTCCTGAGTTCTATCCTTTCAAAAAAAACTCATTTGGAAAAGGAAAAAAGCATTTAGAATTGAAGCATTATTGATTTATAGTTGTGGCCTCATGGTTTTATTTTCTATAAGAAATGGGTTGATGCATTTGCGTCTTAATAACTTTTTTCTAGTTTGAAACATCTTTAATAGTAACTGTCTTTTAACCCTTTGCAGGAATTCTGCTAAAAGTCGTGAAGGAGCATTGCTTGCATTTGAATGCCTCTGTGAGACATTAGGAAAATTGTTTGAGCCGTACGTCTACTCTAACTTCAAGTTGTACCCCTGCTTCATTCTAGTTAGTATCCCATTGCAAATGATGATGACAGGAGAATGCTCTGCTAGTGTATAGTTGAATGCTTGTTTATAATCTTTTTACTTATCATGACTTCTTTCTGTTTTTTCCAGCTATGTCATTCAAATGCTTCCACTTCTTCTGGTTTCTTTCTCTGACCAAGTAATCGCAGTCCGAGAAGCTGCAGAATGTGCTGCTCGGGCAATGATGTCTCAGCTGACTGTTCATGGAGTGAAACTAATCCTTCCATCACTTCTAAAGGTTCTTTAGAACATTTTATGATTGAGCAAGCAAGCTAAAATTGCTTCTAGTAGAATTAGGCATGAATATTTGTTCTCTTATAATATTAAGATTTTTGATGTGTAAACTGTAATGTAGTTCCTGCCAGGTCTACTGTTCGAAGGCATGTTTACAATCCAAATAAAATAATACATGCATTCTGTTACTAACAAACCAACCAGGCAACCATAAACTTACCCAACCTTTTTGTGTTTTGTCTTGTTGACTATTTTAAAGTTTCTTAACTCAAACAGCCCCTGTGTTTTATAGGGTTAAGGTTGTTTACATCGTGGCCCCCTTAACTTTATGTAGGGACTGGTGTACTTGTCCGAGTTTCTACCTCCACACAATATCATTTTCTTGGGAAAGAGTTACATTTTGAGAAAGAGAAAATGTGCTTGCTCAAAGAACTAGTTAGTAGAGATTTTCACTGAAGCTTGTAGAATTTTAAGAATATATTACATTTGTAACGTTGTTGGTGTACTTGGTCAAGTGGTTCTGCTTTAGAGAAAGCGTTCAATGTCAGCAGACTTCTAACGTACGCATACTTTGAACATACCTATTTGCTCTTAGCTATCTCCAAGCTTCAGAAAAAGCAATACAACTATTAATTTCTATGATGAAAGCAGACTTTTTTTTTGTGGTACAGAGAGAGTAGTAAATAACATTACTAGAATTCCCGGCTTTTACAGTTTTACGTTTATTAGCTCAATGTTATAAAAGAATGCGTCACCTCTTCATTTTTGATTGGTTCAGTTCACATATTTAACATTACTAGAATTCCCGGCTTTTTTATTTACTGAAACATTGCAAATATTTTATGATGAGATATGAATAAAATGTTGTTACTATATCAGGGCCTTGAAGATAAAGCTTGGAGGACAAAACAAAGTAGTGTGCAACTTCTTGGTGCTATGGCTTACTGTGCGCCACAACAGTTATCCCAGTGCCTCCCCAAAGTTGTGCCAAAATTAACAGAGGTTGAATTTCAGTCATATTTTTATCTGCAGATGAGGCCCACTGTTCTAGCTCATTTTAAAAAAGAAGGAAAACTATTCATGCTGCCTTAACTTTGTTACAGGTCTTGACTGACACTCACCCCAAAGTTCAATCAGCCGGACAGACTGCACTACAACAAGTGAAAAAGCTTCTCAATGTCATGTTTCTATATGCATTGTTAATTTCACTTGCTATGTTAAATTTAGCGTTTTGTTGTTTATAGGTGGGGAGTGTTATAAAGAATCCAGAGATATCTGCCCTTGTGCCTACTCTTTTGACTAGCCTTATGGAACCCAATGAACACACAAAATACTCCCTTGACATACTCCTTCAGGTCTGTTTTTCTCTGCCTTTTTTCCCCACACGTTTGCAATTTTGAAAAGGCTTATGCTCACGACTCTATTGCAGACAACTTTTATCAACACAGTTGATGCTCCATCTCTAGCATTATTGGTACCAATTGTCTATCGAGGACTTAGAGAAAGGGGTGCTGAAACTAAGAAGAAGGCAGCCCAAATTGTTGGGAATATGTGTTCTTTGGTCACAGAGCCAAGGGACATGATACCTTATATAGGCTTGCTTCTTCCTGAAGTTAAAAAGGTACTCTTAAGTTTGTGTGAGTGAATATATCCTGGAATGAAAATATGGATTTATAGATGCCCCTGATTTCTTTAGGTTCTCCTGGACCCTATCCCGGAAGTTCGTTCAGTTGCTGCTAGAGCTATTGGCTCTCTTATAAGGGGAATGGGGGAAGAAAACTTCCCAGATTTGGTGCCTTGGTTGTTAGATACTCTGAAATCTGATGGCAGCAATGTTGAGCGCTCTGGAGCAGCCCAAGGCCTTAGCGAGGTTAAAGATGCTTCATACTTATAGCTTTTGCTCTGTTTCATTTTCAATATTACCGCATTGTAGGAATGCCCTCTGCTACGGATTTTCATTAAATGCCCCTGGTTTTAGTTTTTTAGACTTTTAAACAAACTATATACTTTATTAAGGCATTTCTGCTGTCTTTGCTACCTTGACTTGCTCAAATATACTTCCAACATGGGAATGTTTTGCAGATATAGGTACTTAGGTTCAAACTAGTAGATTTTACATAATTCAACTTTTCAACGGGAGCATAACTTTTTTTTTGTTATTTTTATGGGTGTTGTTTAATGATTATTTTTCTATAGTTTCATTTTATTTCATCTTTTTTACCTCTTTATCATCAAGTTATGAACTCAACCCTAGTTTCTAGATCTTACGTGCTGGTTTAGTGTATCGTCTATGTTGATTGGGGATTCAAAGCTAGTCAAATATATAACTTCGCCTCACTTTTTTCTTTTTATAGGTATTATCTGCACTGGGTATGGAGTACTTTGAGACCATACTTCCAGATATTATTAGAAACTGTTCCCATCAAAAAGCATCAGTTCGTGATGGCTATTTGTCACTTTTTAGGGTAAGTGCTGATAGTTTTATTTTGTTTCTTTTATGTTGGTTTTCTTTTTTCTGGAATCAACCGGAGTTTTTCATTGACCTGATGTTCTTTCTTTTTTAGTATCTTCCAAGATCTTTAGGCACCCAATTTCAGAACTATTTGCAGCAGGTTCTTCCAGCAATTATAGATGGTAACCTCTCTCTCTGTCTCATTACAATGGGAAGGGAAGTTGTGATGAATACCTTGCGCAATAAATAATAACATCGTCACCTTGAGTTGGAATATATTATGAGTTTATTTTTACCAACGCTTACCAATTTTTCAGGACTTGCCGATGAGAATGAATCTGTACGTGATGCTGCACTTGGCGCCGGCCATGTTTTGGTGGAGCACTATGCAACAACGTTCGTTTCAAAAAAGTCCCTTTATTTGGTTTATTGTTCTCTTAAATGAATTTTTCTGATAAGCATGTGTTGTCTTAAAGTTTTTCATGCGAAGAATGTCATTTTTTATCCTATCCTTAAAAATTTATAGGTCATTACCTCTGCTTCTTCCTGCTGTGGAGGATGGCATATTTAATGATAATTGGCGTATTAGGCAAAGCTCTGTGGAATTATTGGGTGACCTTTTGTTTAAGGTATAAACGTATATCACACAGAACTTTCTATTCTCTCTATATATATTTACCAATGTCAATTAATCAATTATTTTACAGGTTGCTGGAACATCTGGTAAAGCTCATCTTGAGGGTGGCAGTGATGATGAAGGTTCAAGTACTGAAGCTCATGGCCGGGCAATCATTGAGGTACTTGGAAGGGAAAAGCGTAATGAAGTTCTTGCTGCCCTGTACATGGTTCGGACTGATGTCAGCATAACTGTGCGCCAGGTAGTGTTAAAGTCAATGTCCATAGTTGCTTCAATTAGGCTATTACCTTCTCATCATATGCTTGCTGTAACTAATGAACTATAAAATGGCTCTCTTTTGCTTTAGGCTGCGTTACATGTCTGGAAAACTATAGTTGCTAACACTCCAAAGACCTTAAAGGAAATTATGCCGGTGTTGATGAACACGTTAATAAGCTCTCTGGCTTCCACATCTTCTGAGAGGCGACAGGTTAAATATGTGTGTGTGTGTGTGTGCTGTGATTCGTTACCAGGTGTTCCCTTGATAAGCATGGTGGGGAAACTATAGAAAGTTGTAATTACAGTTTTTTTACACGCCAGGTTGCTGGACGAGCGTTGGGTGAGCTAGTTAGGAAACTTGGAGAAAGAGTGCTTCCAATGATCATTCCAATATTATCCCAGGGTCTAAACAACCCTAACCCTGGCAAAAGACAAGTGAGCTTAGCCTGTTGTGACCAGTTTTTTTTGTTGTTGATCTTTTTACTTTTTAGTTATTGTTGTGCAAATTTTTCGGTTTCTTTAAATGTTTTAATTGAACTAACAATCAATATTTCTCTATAACTTTTATGCATTTCCTAAACTTTTATATTTTATGTGATTATGACTGTGGTATACAAGCAACTGTGGGTATACATTTGTATTCAGGATACATCCATCCATCTTGTATTTGTAACCTTGATGTGCTTGGATATGGCCGATACGAAATGTCTCTTTGTGATTAATGTCTTCTATCCTTATATAAGTATGCACACACAATCCATATTGATTGTTGTTTCAACTAGATTTATTCGAACACATTTTTAAAATTTGCATGAGGCAACGTTATAGCATCTTTACAAATTACTAAATCCATGTTTGTCAGTGGAAATGGGAGTTGATACTCATCAACCGTAGCTCAGATGTGGAGTCTAAAAGGTCTTTGCATGTTGTTTTAGAATATGTTTTTTAAAGTTATCCAGATAAAAAAGTCATTGTAGAATTCAAGTGAATTTCATTTCTTAAGGCATGCATTTAGTATGTTGTGCTAGTATTAACGATAGTTTGGATGCTTCTAGAAAGTGTTTGGTTTGCGCAAACTGGAACTTAATATTACAGGAATTACATTTTTAAATAGTGAATCAATATATACAATTCATCTCACAACGTTGCCTAGGCGACAACATGTCGTTCAGGCACTCTCGTCATGGCTCAGAGAAGGGAGGGGGTTGGGGGGTATAGAACCAGAGCCTCGGATCATATCATGACATTGAAACCAATGTCACATGAACTGCCCCGTGTATATATATATATATATATATATATATATATATATCTGTATGTATGTATGTATATATACACACACACATACACGCACACATATATGTATATGTATCATGTATGTATGTGTGTGTGTGTGTGTGTATCAAAGCTTTTATCTTATTTTCTTTTGCAATTTCGATTAAACTTTTCTTAAACAAATAAAACATTAAAAAGAGTAAATGTTTTAGAAAACTAAAATAACAACAAATATAACTTTAAAAACTCTAATGTCTACATTAAAATGGGGTAAGAAGAAAGTATAAACATAATGTTTATCACTTTGTATTTCATATTAAAGTACATAATTTGAAACATTACCTTACCTCAATGGGTGGATGACGTTGGCTTCATCTTCGATTGGGTTTGATCCATTTTAGTGAGTTGCTTCATGTTTGGTTGGATTTGAACCAATTTTAGCAAGTTGTTTTGGGGTCGGGTCACAAAATATTTGTTCAAAACCCAGTATTGTTCGCGCGGGTTTCCAGTCGAGAACATGTTGATTTCATTTTTGTCATGTCTAATTTGGATACTTTTATTGTCTACATATGGCTTCATTCTACATTTATACTGATGTGATAATGTTTCGATGTGCAAGAAGACACTTATTTTAGCAATCCTTCAATGCAAAACGTAGGATGTGTTTGCTATTTGTTTATCTTATTTCTGTGCTTGTAGGAAACGTGAGAAAGGGATGGTGGTGGAGACACGGTTGAGTTCTTTAGGACCCACTAATGCCTTTAATGAAACCAAACTTTATTTCAGGGTGTGTGCATTGGTTTGAGTGAAGTGATGGCAAGTGCTGGGAAAAGCCAGTTGCTGAATTTCATGGACAAGCTTATCCCAACCATTCGAGCAGCACTTTGTGATAGGTATTATGTTTGCTTTTATTTAAAGTTCTTTTGTTTCTGTTTTTCCTACACTTCTTACAGGTCACATGTATTCTGCTTTATTTGAAGTTCTACTTTTTCTGTTTTTTCTTGTGACACTTCTTACTTTTTGTGCAATAGCATGCCTGAGGTCCGAGAATCAGCAGGGCTGGCATTCAGCACTCTTTACAAGGTACCTTGGTGTGGCATCATTCTTGTTTAAAATATGTCCATCCATGAGAGGTGGGCAGAGTTGCACGCCGCTCATCATTGACATGTCACTAGAATCAGGATGATGTCACATCAGTAGTGGGCTGTGTAGATTCGCCCATCTTTGGTTTGTGATTGTTCTTGTATATATTTTTGGATTGAAATAAAGTTTGATGACAATGTCTGCTCGTGCAGAGTGCTGGATTGCAAGCAATTGACGAGATCGTACCAACACTTTTGCATGCTCTAGAGGATGATCAACTCTCTAATACTGCTCTCGATGGCTTAAAGCAGATTCTAAGGTTTATTACCATTTGCAATTGTGTATTATTGCCTCTTTTTTTCTCTTATATGTCTAAAAGGCTCCGGATGTTTCTTTTAGTGTCAGGACCAGTGCTGTGCTACCTCATATCCTTCCCAAGCTTGTACATCTACCTCTCTCGTATGTATTTTGTCTATTTCTTATAGCTTTTCTATATCCCTGTATTGTTATCATCATTTTGTTGTTTCTGACTAGATTCTTTGGGTTTATATAGTGCCTTCAATGCTCATGCTTTGGGAGCTCTAGCAGAAGTTGCGGGACCTGGTCTTGATGCCCATCTTGGTACTATCCTTCCTGCATTGCTCACTGCAATGGGCTATACTGATGTGGTAGATACCTAAATTTGTGGAATAATGTTATTAACCCTTTTAATGGGGTTTCCCTCATTTACATCTTCGGATATGAGTAATCTGTCATCAGCCTTTCTTTCTGTCTCTCTTTTGTCATGTGTTTTCCCTTGAAAATATAGGAGGTCCAAAGTTTGGCCAAGAAAGCAGCAGAAACTGTTGTTTCAGTAATCGATGAGGAAGGCATCGAGCCTGTTTTGTCAGAGCTTCTCAAAGGAGTTGGGGATAGTCAGGCATGACCTTTTTTTACTTAATGATTTTGCTACTACTATCTTTTATTCATTTCTTTAGCTAAATCTATTTACGTTTATTTTTCCAGGAATCAACCAGAAAAGCTTCTGCTTACTTGATTGGATTTTTGTTCAAAACCAGTGATCTATATCTTGTTGATGAAGCTCCAAATGTGATATCCACTCTGATTATTTTACTAAGTGATTCAGATGCAGCTACTGTTACGGTAATATCTTTATTGATTGCATGCATGAGTAAATGCTTTTTACATGTTTGTCTTACCCTGCATTTTTACAGGCTGCGTGGGAAGCTTTATCATGCGTGATAAGCTCAATTCCTAAAGAAGTTCTTCCTTCATATATAAAGTTGGTTCGTGATGCTGTATCAACATCAAGGGACAAAGAACGCAGGAAGAGAAAGGTAAAGCATTATTAAATGTTATAGCTATTTGAAATATTCATATATAATAAAGAGGCAGCCCGGTGTTCAAAGCATTTCTGCTGAGCTAGGGTCTGGGGAAGGGTCTCATAACAAGGGTGTAGTGTAGACAAACCTTACCTTGCATTCTTTTGCACCATCTATCTATATATATAGATGGATATTTCCAAATTGGGATATAAAACATTCATTTCTGAGTATGCCAAATGGTGTTTGCGGAGTACATAAATTGGAAGCAAAAGGATTTGAAAAGTTGACAACTATTTTAGATTTAATGGGCAACTTAGACTGGCTCAAGCATATATACAGATGCATACATGTCTCTCGATCAATCCGTGTGGGAAAAATGATTTGATATGGCACCATTTTACTTTTTTAAAAGCGAAACTAACCCCAGGTTATGGGCTTGTCAAATTATGTTAACCTGTAATGTAATGGTTTTGGATTTGTTAGACATGGTGTTCTGTTTTTGGAATTTTTTAAACAATGATCTGGCATGTAATTCAATCCATGTTCCAAAGCATCCCAAGTTTATACACACACTGTACTGATAAAAATGGTATTCACCCTCCAGGAAGTACAATTTTGGAAGACATATTTATGTTTTTCTCAAAATTGTATACGGCTATGAGAGTATGAGTTTCTAATTTTTATACAATCCTTACCGTTTACTTGTATGAAATTTTATCTCTATTTTTAATAAGAAAGCCATTTTCACGGTAGAAGAGTTAAATTAGATATTAAATCATGCAGGGAGGACCAATTATAATACCTGGTTTTTGTCTCCGGAAAGCTCTTCAACCTGTACTTCCTATCTTCCTTCAGGTATTCTCAACTCTGTTTCAAATATGTAATCCAGTTTATTATTAGATGGAGTTTATCAAATAAGAACAAAGATGTAATGAGATTTTGTTTCTGAATTTGTTAAGCACTTTGTATGCCTGGTCATTTTTTATTCACAGAATGTGGAACTTTGAAATATGACCATGCTTTTGTTTTTCAAGGCTTGCTAGAGTTGGAAATATCTTGTTTTTGTAAGGATTGACAGACCCAGGGTGTAGTTTGATAAGAGTGTAATACACAATGGAATGTAATGCAATGTAGTCTAAGGCACGGGCAATGTAATTGTGCAATATAAACGTACATGCTTTGCTTTTTTACAAGATATTATTGTTGACCAAATTACACCTAGGGTTACTCCAATAGCCATCCTTGAAGTTTGATGTTCCAATTTTGTTTTTACAAGGATTTCTTTAGTTAAAGAGAAATTTCTAGGCCTTGTGTCAAGAAGTGTATAGTACTTCATTCATCTTTGATGCTAAATTACCCATGCTTTTTGTTACTTGTTGCAGTGGTTTATGCATATTTCTATTATTATCTTTAGGGTCTTATGAGTGGATCAGCTGATCTAAGAGAACAAGCTGCTTTAGGCCTTGGCGAATTAATTGAAGTGACAAGTGAGCAATCATTAAAGGAGTTTGTAATCCCAATCACCGGGTAGGGGGCGTATGTTACTATTAATTGCATTACATCCTACTCCCACCATCCGAAAATAAGGTTCCACATTGAAATTGGGACCAATTATTAAGAAAACTGAAATTCTGTGGTTAAGACTTATGCAAAGGAAAGAGAAATAAAGTGAACCACAAACCGTATGTTGGGACAGAAAAAAATGTGGAACTTTTTTTTTTGCGACAAAGGGAGTACATAAAAATGCAATATATTTTTTCTTTATTAGCATACCAGCCATTTTGTTGTCATCTATTATATCTCTGAACTTCATGGTTTGCTATATGGTGTAGGCCATTGATTCGTATAATAGGGGACAGATTCCCGTGGCAAGTGAAAAGTGCAATTCTCTCAACTTTAACCATCATAATACGGAAGGGGGGTTTGGGACTAAAGCCCTTTCTTCCCCAGCTTCAAACAACATTTGTTAAATGCTTGCAGGATAACACAAGGTTAGCTTTTAGTTCTGATGGTTTCTCTTCTTCGATTTTGACCCATGTATCTGAGTCATGTTTTTCATACTCATCTATGTGTATATTCCAACTTCATGCTTACACAAGTTGTTTGCAGAACTGTTCGGACAACTGCTGCTCTTGCACTTGGGAAGCTTAGTGCACTCACAACTAGGATTGATCCTCTTGTTGGTGATCTATTGTCTGTTTTACAGGTGGATCATTTCATTTATGTGAATTGTTGCTTTTTACTTTTCTTGTTTTAACTGTAAACATCTAATATTATGGTGATATGAACTACAGATGTCAGATGTTGCAATTCGTGAGACTATTTTGACTGCTTTAAAGGGAGTGATCAAACATGCTGGCAAAAGTTTGAGTAGTACTTCAAGAACACGTGTCTATACACTCTTAATGGATTGGATAAACAATGATGATGACCAAATACGAGTGTGTGCTGCCAGTATATTAGGAATCATATCACAGGTTTGAGTCACCACACTGATAGCACTCATCTGTTTTATATGATATATTCCTTTAGTGGAATAAAATTTGCTTCAATACAGTACTGATATAGGAACTGCCAAGAACCAAACTTTGGTCCAAAAAGTAATTTCATCATTTCTTTTATTTCTTTGTAGTTATGTTTTTTTGGTGTATTTTACTGTTAGAGTATGTGCTGTACTACCTAGCCAGTTTAACAAGGCATGTCAGATGTTTTGATTTAAGATGGTGTTTGTTTATTTAATTTACTTGTGCTTTGTATCCTAAAATTGTTCATCCCCAATATTGCCTTTGATTATATGTAGTAGTCTGATACGTTTTGGAGGATATTATGTTATCTTTCAAACAATTCAGGCATTTTAGACAATATGTGTCATGTGCGTGTTTACCCAAATGAAGATTATTTTCTCCCTGGGCAATATATTTATGCTCTATATGTTTTTCAATTCTAATTATTGTAAACAATCACTGGTTGTATTTACGTGTCTTTTTGCTTTCATATTCCTCCAGTACTTGGAAGATGAAGAAGTTGCTAACGTTCTTAGTGAGACTGCAAATTCAGCATTATCACCTAATTGGTGCACAAGGCATGGAGCAGTACTCACGATCTCTTCCATCCTAAAGCACAATCCTGCCTTCATTTGCACTTCTTCATCATATGAAGCTGTAGTAAATTGTCTCAAAAGTAGCCTAAAAGATGAAAAGGTATTTGGCATCTTTTATCTTAATTGACATCTTTATCGTAACATTCAAAGTTAAATGTCACTAATGTTTCATTCTATTTCACTACTCGCTGAACTACTGAAAATTTCAATTCTATGTGCATATCTTTTGTTTTTATTTTCTTAAAAAAAATTAAATATAAATTCTTCGTATTCTCTGTCAGTTCCCAATTCGTGAAACATGTGCAAGAGCATTTGGAAGACTTTTATACCATCAAGTTGAGAGTGATTCTTCAAACGCTTCTTCACATCTTGAGATTCTTGGTTCGTTAGTACTGGCCATGCAAGACGATTCAAGTGAAGTCAGAAGAAGAGCATTGTCTGCTCTAAAGAGCGTTGCCAAAGTTTGTGTTCTCCATATAGTGATATAACTTGTTTTTACTTGGAAATGTGTTATTGTGTTAACAACGATATGTATTTATTTACTTGGATAATAACAAACTGCTTGTTCATTGCAGTGTAACCCTAGTGCATTAATGATCCATGTATTAAAATATGGTCCTGTACTAGCTGATTTGCTGAAAGATGGAAGTTCACCGGTGAGACTTGCAGCAGAGAGATGTGCCTTGCATGCTTTTCAATTGGATAAAGGTAAGGAATTTGTATAGGGTCTTTTTTGTGGAGGGCTTAGTTTATATCTTGATAAATACAGAGTAGAATGTGAATAAAAATGAATGAAGGGTTTTAATAAATGTTGAAGGATCTTTTTTACCGTTAATTTATACGGAGCACTTTGTATTAAGATATAGACAGAGCCCATCCAAAAATCTCCTTCCAAACCAACCCTTTATAAAAAAAATTCCCTGCACTGCCCCTGATATGCAAAATTCATAGATTTTTCATGTTCATGTTTATATTTCGATGCTACTTGGCAAATACAATACACCAAGGTTTCATGTTTTTAAAACTTCCTTGTGATAGATGTCTCTTAAATGTTCTTTTCCAGGTGTAGACAATGTTCAAGCTGCACAAAAGTTTATCACGGGTTTGGATGCTAGGCGGATTTCCAAGCTTCCAGAGCATAGGTGAAATTTTAGTCTATTATTATAATGATATGTTTACCCGATTAAAAAAAGATATATTTAAAAATTAAAAAGCATTATCTGCTGTTTCAACCAAAATACTCCCCTCTGTAATCTGTCCAACAAAAAGGCTCAACATATCCTTTTTCACCCGTCCCAAAAAAAAGTTCCACTTTCTACTTTTCAAAAAGTTTGTGGCTCATATTATTTCTCTCCTCTATACAACTTTCAACCGTACAATTTCACTTTTCTTAATCTTTGTGCCTAGTCAAACATGAAAGTTTTTTTTCGGGACAGAGGGAGTAATACTTGAACTACGTATACAGATGATACAAGTAGAATAATACTCCATCTGCTCCAAAACAAAATTGTGTTTTAAAAACTTTCAAAAGTCTTTCCTTTGTTCCATAATATTTTCAGGTTTGACTTTGCATGGTTATGAAGAACAAGAAAGTGAAATTATGTGGTTGAGATTTACTACTTCTGTCCCAAAATACTTTACTCACATTCCCTTTTTTGACCTCTTAAAAAACATTTCCCGCTTTCTTTCTTTTTTTAGTAATGAAAACGTGGCTCACAAGATTTCTCTCATCAAAACGGATTCTAACCATACGCTTCTCACTGTTCATACTTTGATTAAACACCGTGAAAATCAAACGGGTAAAATTTTTTGGGACGAAGGGAGTATAACATAACTGTATATTGAGACTAGCGAAAAAAGAAAGTGGTTACTCCCTCAGTTCCCTCTGTCCTAATTTTTTTCCTGTTAAGATATTGTATTGTTACCATGTGACAATAGAATTTGTTGTGGTTAATGTTATCCGCATCCCACTTTTTTTTCCAATGGTTCTTAACTATGCCGAATATCTTGCTCCTGATATATTGTGTCTTCTTTTGGTGCAGTGACGCGAGCGACGAAAGTGATGTTGATTCTGTGGCCTGATTTTGCTTTCCAATTTATACTTTTCTTTGCCTTTTCAAATTTTAACAACGGACGATGATGTTTCCGTGGCGCGGGAAGTACATAGCTTCACTTGTGGGGGGAGAGATGCCAACATATATATTACACACAAACACATTGGCTTTGAGGTCCAACCCTTAACGTTGTGATATAAACTTATGTAACATATTTGATCATCGCATTGTAATATATCGTGCGAATTTCGCCTGTTAAGTTCTTAGAATGTCTTTCAAGTTATGTACATTTCGCTATTGCCCTTGCAGTATGTAGACTGTATGCGATATATGTGCCAAATTTTGAAGTTGCCTTTTTGTTCTTGTTTTGAAAGAAGGAAGTTGCTTATTATTGGCCACACTATTCTGAACTGGTTTAAACCCTCCTGTAAGTTTCAAATGAAAAGGTAAAATAGCGGAGTATTAAACGAGTAATGAAAATATGCAAAGAAAGTAAATAAAATTTGAGATGCACGGAGTATTATATCTTGAATAATAGTTGAAAAAATATAGGTCTTGAAATATCATATCTTCAACCAACTATAATGTTTTTCGTACATCCACTTGAATATTCATTTTTGAATAACTGAATATTTATTTGTGTATTGAATATTCATTTTCAAGCATAACTAAATTCTAGAAAAATGAGTATTTAGTTGCTATTAAATGAGTACTCACTGCATATGTTCAGAAAACATCTATGTAGTTGCCATTTTTCCTAATGAAGTGTGGACAATGTAAGATTAAGGCCCTATTTGGAACTTAGATCTTAGCTGTTGGTTAATAGCTATTCATGTTAGGTTGTTTAAAGTTTAAACGACTGGTTGAGTAGACTCTTTTGACCAATCAATTATGTTAGTTGTTGATAAAAAATTGTTTGACAAACTTAGCTTCTTCAAAATAGTTTTTATAAAATTAAATTAAATTAAATTTTCATATATATAATTATATGGTACTCCGTATAACATGATTTGCAATATATATTTTTCCAAAGTCATTATGATTTTAATTATTTGTGTTTTTATTGATGAATTGATAATATAATATAATTATATCATCTTTTGTTTTAAAGAACTTTTGATGTAGTTCTTAAATATATACACCAAATTCTCAAAAAAGAATTCAAATTTTTTTTTCTTCTCGCAAATCCCTTCATGAATTTTGCATGGGGAAGGACTAATTTTTATTTACTATTTATTTATTTATAAATATTTACATATTGGTAGATTTATTTATTTATTTATTTGTTATTTATTTATCAATTTTTTATTTAAATATTTATTTATTTAAGAATTTTTATTTAATTATGTAATGAATAATTATTTTTTATTTATTCATAAAAATTACATACAATAACAAATAATAAAAAATTTTATTTTCCAATAGCAAAATCGAAATGCTACTCATAGCCTCGTAGGAGTCATAGCTTTTTAAATTTTGGCTTTCGAACTCAAACAGCCAATCTTTGCAGAGTTCCAAACATTCTTTTTAGTTGTTTAACCAGTCAAATTTGCCAAAATTGGTCATAATAATCAAAAGTCATCCTAAGCTTTCGGCTCAAAAGAGAACATAGGAACAAAATCATAGGTTTAACAATATTCCTTTACCAGATGATCAATAAAAATATACAAACAAACCAAAATTAATGAAAGGTCGTAATAAGAACGATGACAAACATTTTGGAGCGAGAGGAGTACTATTTTCTTAAAAATATAGTGAGTTGATCTTAGATAAATCGAGGATAAGATTAAAAACAGATGAAAAAGACTAAAGTAGGAGTAAAACATTGAAAATATACCAAAATAGAACTTCCATGTTTTTATTCTTGAAATATGAATTAAAATGCATTTACATTACCACAAATGATCATGTACATTAGCAAAAAAAATAGTATTGTGCAAAATGTACAATGTCACATTACAACCACATTATCACAGTGCGAAGTTCAATTTCGAGAATAAAAACATGGAACTCTTATTTTAGTATTTCTTTCTATATTTTAGTCAAATAATGATTTCTATAAAAACAGAGACAAAAATAAAACCAGTTGGCTTCGGTTTCAGTTGCAAGTGAAAATCCTAAACTGTAGGTTCGGCCGAATCCGGTTCACCATATTTTCCAATTCGAAACCTAAAGGAGAATTCCAGCAAACCCCAAACCCTGCCGGGGAAAATTAAGACACGCCGGGGAAAGTAAGGGAGGTAAGGTTATCTGCATTTTATTGGCCAAATTGGCTAAATATCGAGGTAATAGAATAGGCCGCTTCACCCAATCGCACGAAACCAATAGCCATCTTCACATCGCCTTCTTCTTCCGGTTCCGATCGCACAGGTATTCCTATCGCCGTTCAATTTTAACTTTTTTATCGGAATTGCTCTGCTCTTCAATTCCTCCATAAACGCTGCATAGTTAATCTCTCTTTTGTTTCAATTTTGATCGCCATCTGCTGCTCAAGCGCTGCTGAAATCAGATTGTTTTTAGGTGTTTATTTTTGTTCTGCGATGGACTTCAATTTCTATCGCCATCTGCTGCTCCTTTGCTTATTTTTTTTGCACTTCAATTTTCACTTTTTTTTTTTCAATTTCCAGATTTTTTTTTTCGCTTTTTTCGTTCTGCTCTACTTCAATTTTACACTTTTTTCCATTTTCAATTTCCAGTTTTTAATTTCCTCTGTGTTTTTTGTTTCCTTTTTTTCAGTTTTCGTTTCTTTTTTCTTTTTTTCAGTTTTCAGTTTTTCTTTTTTTCACTTTTTTTTTGTTTCTGTATATTTAGCTCTAGGGTTAATTAATTGTTGTAGATTGATTTATCTAGTTAACTATGCAAGAAGCAGTTTATCCTTTTTCACATTGTGATATGGAAGACAATATTGCAATATATGACTTTTTTTAATTTTCAATTTGTATTTTTTATGCTTCGTGAACCACTTTTGATGCCAAAATACTCAAATGGATATTTTGGTAATTTTATTCTTTCTCTACCTCACGTTACCTAATAAACATCCAAACACAATTTTTTAACTCTTCTTCTTCAATTACCTATCATTACCTACCTAATAAAACTTTTACCTACCTCCAACCAAACATAGCCTTAGAAAACGAAAAGAAAAAGGAAGAAGAAGAGGAATATCGGAAAGTTGAAAAGCACGGCGGAGAGCGATCCACGGAACAACCCTAGCAGCGATTTCTCCCATTTTAAGATTTTCAGGTCCGCCTCTCATCTCACCATAATGTCTCCCATATACTATATAGCCATGTTATATGTAATGTGATTTTAGATTTCTCACTTCTCTTGTTAGCTTTGTTACGTTTTTTGCATATTGATGTGGATTTTAGCATATGGAAGGGGGTTATGTAACTTATATTGTGCACTATATTTAGCCGTGTCATTTGTCTTATATTTTTCGATTCTCGTATTATCGTGTTTGTATTGTGTGTAAATCTAAAATTTATTTATGAACATGGTTTCTACCTAATCCTACTTTTGTGGTGATCCTAGATGCACGCCAAGTTGCACACCACCCCTTCCCCACCAGACATTTTTTTATCTACTCTCCAATCTCATTATTTCCTTTTTGGGACGTCCCAGAAAAAGCCTCATCTTTCCTTTTATGGAAACCTTTGAGTGGCTCACGATATTTCTCTTTTCTCTGCATCACTTTCAACCATACATTTACACTTTCTTTAAACTTTGTGCCAAGTCAAACTGGGAGCTTTTTTTGGGATGGAGGGAGTAATATATTGACTGCTTACCTAGTGAACTTTAATCTTCTTTCCTATGCGGCTTGTTGTGCACTTGTGCCTTTCAGCTTCTCTCTCATAGTCTTTTTCTTCTTAAGGATCAATCGTCTTCTACTGTTCTTTCATCGCGGTAAGACTTCCTTATCCTTGTTTTATTTGTGAGTCCTTTTTTTGTTTATGGTACGTTTGGTTCTTCAAGGGTAAACTATCAAATGATTTTTTAAACTTACCTACTGAACCTTCATTATTTGTTTCCACCATTAGCTTTCTCTCTTTTTCTATAGATTTTTGTTGTTTCATATATAATCTTTTAGAGTAGGTGATTCAATGTCAGACTAGGCATTTTAATATGGGGTAGATTTATAAACTGATACAAAGGAAGTAAAAAAAATACATGTACTCGAAGTCCAATTTTCGCAGTAAAGACACCATAGAAGCGATCACTAGAAAACTGCCACAATACTTGCACAATATTCATTTGAATCTGTGTTGCGTCAAAGGTAGGCATGAGTCGGTGACTTAGTGTTGCCCCATTGTAAATCTTGAAAGTGTTTTGCCTTACCCCAGTAATCTACCCTCCATTTACTAGTGAATGAGATATATGAAGTATTTTTGGAATCCAGATACTTTGGCTTGCAAAACAAGAAATGGAATTTTGCCCTACATGTGCTAACTTATTGCAATTTGAGATGCCGAATATGGACCGCCCTGGTGGATTCGCCTGCCCTACTTGCCCGTATATATGTGACATTGGAGCCAGGGTGCAGTACCTGCAGAAAAACTTCTTATTTTATGCTGGTCTCACTTTTTTCGGATAATTTTATTTTACGTGTTTCTTTCAGGTCAAAATCAAGAGAAAAATGCATCTAGTTCCAAAGAAGCTAGATCCAATTCTTTCAGTCGATTCAATGGACACAGCCCCAACGACTAAAGGTCTGTGGAGATTGCTCTCTAACTTTTTTTTATATAAAATGTGTGGTTTGAAATGTAGTCTCCATGCATTATTTTTTTCCTTACTGTGATTCAAATCACTTGTGGTTGTCATGAGTATATATAGCATCTAAGTATTATGGTATTTGAAAATGAAACATATGAAAATTACCACCATAAGGAATGGACTTCATTAGCATCACCATTACTCTTGCTTACCATCCCCACGGCCCATGGAGGTGGTAAGGGTAGAGCCCCAATTGGTACCGGAAAAACCAAACCTTGTCGGAGATTTTGTGGTACACAAGTATGTGGAAAGTCATTTCTTTTTTCACCCGTCCCAAAGTTATGCTTTACTTTGTGGTACACAAGTATATGGTAAGTCATTTCTTTTTCACACTCTGTATCAATTTTTTCTTTTATGCATAGACCTCAACCGCAATTTTTACTTTTTTCATTCTCAACAGCCATAATTCTAGAACATGGAGAATGATTCACAAAAATACTACTCTCAGAGAAAAAAAAAGAACAAAAATAGTGTTTTTCTAGTGTGACCTTGAACTCTGGAGAAGTAATGGCAGAGCATTCGTGAAGTCTTCATTTACTATTGGAGTATTTTTAAAAATTGTTATTTATTAGGAAAATGATTATATTGTGATGTGTGTAGAACATATGCGGGTAGCTCAGTAGTTGAAGGATGAAAATATCATTTACAAATTTGAAATTTCCAAAAAAAAATATATTGAGAATATGATTTCTATTTTCTAGACAATAAAAAATTGTAAGTGAGAAGATGATTTTGGGACATTTAGAAATTGAAATATTTTTAGTTCATATTTCACACACTGTCACTCAACACAAAGTTTGGGTTCGGCGTTAATGTGTGAAATGGGAAAGATTCATTTTTTTTGGTTCATGGCAATGCAGCGGTGCACATTTTAGTTTGTAGTTTTTGCATAATTCACGATGAAAAAGCTCGACTAATTTACGAAGATGCAAAAGCATATTTTTTTAAATTTGTTTGATTCCCCCATTCACAACCCTTGGATCTTAACTCAGACGTGGTGTGTCATATGCATTGTCATTTCTCGCATGTTGTCTGTCCGATATGGGACTAAAGAAAACGTGATTAAGGTATTAAGACAATAACTAGTAAAGAAAATGTGTGATTTCGCGTCGCATCATAACAAAGCTCGGTGATTGATAATCATATACGCAGTATTTATCAAACATCCTGGTCCTTAATTATCTCATATTGTAGTTCTTAAAATGTTTACACGTGTAAAGTTTTCGGTGTGTGTTTGCAGAGAGATGTTCGACTTGTGGATACGACGAAGCAGCTTTTGTGGAGATGCAAACAAGGTCCGCGGACGAACCCGCGACCCGGTTTTATAGATGCAAAAGGTGCAGATACACTTGGTGTGAGTACTGAGGGGGGCTTATTGGGAGGGAGCAGTTTTGTTTTCTTTGATGGTGGAATGCTGTTATTACTCTGTTGTGTTTTTCCTTTGGTCTTTTTCTTTGCCTTTTGGCATTTAGATGTTATTTTCTCCAATGTATTTGTTTACTACATACTCTTGTTGGGTATCCCCCACCCAGACCATTCACTTGGAGTTAAATGTGACATTAGTTTGGACTCTGGAGGTGTAGTTTAATGAGATAGAAGGTTAGAATAGGTCTAGTAAAATACTACTCCCATAAGATAGTTAACAAAGAAAAAAGTTAAGCTCTTGAGAGTTGTAAAGTGATTAAAAAAAGGAACAAATTAGGGGTATCCCAGTTTGTGTACACCAAGTTTGTCATAGACATATATCAATCAACTGTCTGTGTGAATACAGATAGTTGATGTTCATGTGTGTCTGTCTGTTTGGCATACACAAACTGGGTACTCCTAGCCAAACCCTAAAAAAGGGTGGTTTAAAATACTCTTAGGATAATGTTTTCTCTATCTTAAAAAAGATTTCTTTTTCAATTTCGGGACGTCTGTAAAAAAGCTATATGTGTTTAAAACAAAAAGTTAAATACAAATTGTTCTGTGTGCATGTATGTGCAAAAAAGTGCTCCCTCTGTCTCTATTTTAATCATAAAATGAGAATTACGAGATTAAATTTTACGATTTTTTAAATCATTTTTTTATAAATGATAGATCAATAAAAAATAAAAATTACATGTTAAAAGCTACATCAAAAATTATTTAAAACAAGAGGTGACAAAAATATTTTATTTTATCAAATAATCAATAAAAACAAACAAAAGGTATCGAGAAAATAGAAAATAAAATACTAATAATAATGAGGATGAAGGGAGTATATAATTTCTTTTTTTCTTGTTTCAAAATTCCTTTTTCCTTTTTATTAAAAAATTATTTTTATCTCTACTAAATCTAACTTTATTTATTACATCATGAATATTTGAATTTTACTTTATCTATCACATCATACATATTTAATAATAATTTACGTATTATATTTTACTTTTACCATTAGGGTACTTTGAAAAAATCAATACAAAATTATCATTTTATTAAATTCCATAAAAATTGAAATAAGAAGGAGATTTAGAGATGGAAAAAAGAGATGAATGTGTACATAATTTTGATTATAATAATAATAAAAAACAATATCCCCTGAAATTCCCACCATGTCCCTTATCTAACCAGCCTCCTCCTCCGATGGCTTCTTCTGCCCCTTCAGCCGTCCTTCGTCTCCGACTATCCAACCATTACGCACATTCCCTTCAGCACATTCCCAGAAATTCCCACAATGTCCCTTCTCTTCCCTGCCCTTCCCCCAGCTGTTACTCAATTCTCCTCAAAGCCAGCTTTTCAAGCACAGTCCCATTCGCCGTCTCAGATTCAGACTCCGCGAAATCCCTCGAACCCGATCCTCGATCGCTCCTCCGAGAAGTTGCAGTATGCTTCGAAGCCTCGCCATTTTTTCTGTTTCTTTCATTTTTGACGATGCTGTATATATCTATTGCTTGTGTTTGATCGCCCCTTTCAGGACAGCTTTGATCTCCCTGCGGATTATTTGTCACGCTTGCCTTGGGATCTTCGTCTCGATGTGAGTTTTGATTCTAGGTTATCGCCCCTATTTCCATTTTCTATATTCCGTCGTTCCTCCGTCTAAAAAAGAATTACACTCTTCATTTTTCAAAAGGTATGGAAATTTCTGTTTAGTTGTACGTTTTGATTGATTATTTCATAAAATAAAATATTTATCACCCTTTGTTTTGTAGAACTTTTGACGTAGTTTTTAAATTTGTAAGGTTTATTATTAATTTTTATACCAGTCTTTATATAAAATGGATTTTAAAAAACTTGAAATTTTGCTTTTTTTTGCGTAAAGTGTAAAACATTTTGGAACAGGGGAATAGTATTTTGTTATCTATGTTGGTAATTTTGGTGTAATGGGCCATGCATTGTGATTATTTGTGAATGCTTAGCGTTGAGAAAATGTATGTTCCGTGTAAGATATGTTACATTTATTTTACAATTACAAAGGAGTTCAAAAATATGTGTAGGCTTTATTATTTACGAGCATTGTTCCGTACCAAAATTTAAGTCGTAAATACTTGAAAGACAACTCTATTTTTGGGACGGAGTACGAGTCGAGTGTTATTTGTTATTAAGGATCTAGCTTATCTACAATTGCATGTTTCTTTTGGGATAGTGGAGGGTAGAGGAACTGACTCATATTTCTATTTATTGACTAGTACTGTTTTTTTCTTCAAATGGTATGATTGTATGAAGCTAAATGATGCAGCCTTTGATCTTTCAAATGGTCCAGTTCAAAGTGAGGTCAGTTATTCGTACTATTATCTCTTTCCATTTTGCCAACAGGAATGGATAAATAAATTTTGATATTTGAACTCAACATTTATTACAGTGTGGTGAAGAGATCGGGGAGACATTGCTAAATATAAGTAGAGCGTGGGAACTGGCTGACACATCAACTTCAGCAGCTTTGATGGTCAAGGTTACTCAGCTTGGAGACTGTTTGACGAGTTCTCAAAAGTCAGGCAAGATATTCAGACTATTGTTAGGTTTGCTTTTGCAAGCACACAGTTAATTAAAGTGATCATGGAGTAGTAGCTGAATTGTGATATTTAATTAATGTTAGTTAGCACTCGGAAAGCGTTTGTTATCTGCTGGAAGGAGGTTTCAGTCCATGGGACAGTATGACAAGGGTGAAGTGCAGCGGGTAGTTTACTTAAAATTTGTTTGGTTTTTTAGATACATGCAAGTGTGTATCATTTTTTGTTTGTATTCACACTTCGCACAAAACAGACTTTTAATTTGAAAAAAGATACACCAATTTATGTGAAGCATAAGCAAGTACTTATGACTACCTTTGTTTCACAAACAGTGTAGTTTTAACTTTTAAGAGTTTGCTTTGGAATTTGCTCACATATTAAAAGAATCAATATATACAGCAACATCACGCCTAAACTAATCTTAATGCCCATTACTTTATTTGATAGTTGACATGGAGAGAAAGGAATAATGTAAAAATTTTACATTACATGTTCTCTTGATTTCATAAAATGGATGGAGCATTAAGAATAGGTTCCAAGTCAATAAAATGTCAGGATGGGATATATGGTATATGAAAAGCTGCCTGTATTTAATTCAAGCTATCCTTCCCACACTTAACAGAATGGCTCATCACTTAACTTTACGCCTTCAATAATATTCCCGGTGGGGTCAGTCACTCATTTGACACATTTTTTATATTAATGGGTGAATATTTGGGGCGATACAGATTGCTGAAGTGATGATGAGGACTGGGATGCTTTTGTCTGGATATGCAGTATCTGCAGGTACTGATGAAGAACCAAAGCAACAAACCCGGACTTTTAAGGTAGTTAGTGTCTTATGGAGTATATTTGTAGGGACAACATCATCAACAACAACAACCCACAATAATCCCAACTCTGTTGGGATCTGAGAGTCAAGATGTACGCAGTCTTTAATGTGCCATTTTGATTTAGTTCATTATGTGCCTGAAACTAAGGCATTGTCAATACTCAATAATGACTCTTTAGCAACATTGGCAATGGACGGATTGCGGATATGAACAAGGAACGTGTTTTTTTTCTTACAACTTGTAAGGTATTTTTGAGAGTATTTCATTTGTGCAGTTTGGTGAGCTTGAAGTTGCACTCAGTTCTGGTAAAGCATATGTTGGAACTGCCATTGGTTCTGCATTCGGGTATCTGTTAAATACCATGTTCAGTTTCCATGTAAAACTAGTGCGGGCTTCGTTGTTGTTGTTTTATATCCTTGAAATATAGGATCTTATGTTGGGGATTGAGTCAACGTGTTGCGAGTGTACCTGAGAGCTCATTCCAGTATGCAAATGACAATGCTCTGTTACTTGCGAAGGTAAACACATGGTTACTGCGAGGGGTTAAAAACCTTTTTCTCCATCTGTCAAATGTTTTGGTTGAAAAAGGTCCATTATTAGTTATGTATATTGACATTTGTGGAACTTGTTTCTTGTGCAGTCACTGCAAGGATTTCTTCTGGCGCTTCTCTATTCCTCAACCGTCTTGTCTGCTTTCGTAACCATTGGGCTTCTTTTACTCGCGGGACAACTCAAGTCGAGTGGTAAGTGACTAAGGCCAAGTTTGGTCATGCGGAGAACAGTATTACCTTCCACTGTAAATAGGCAACACATCTATCCTTCATCCAAACATGGAATACACATTTGTTTCTGCTCCTATTTGAGTAAAGCCAATACAACATTTTATGTTTAATGCAAAGGTAAACACATGGTTACCAAGTGTGCTCATTAGGGCAATGCTAGGGGTACCCCATGTTGGTGTACCCCTAGCTTAATTCTAGTTACAATTATGTGAAATGAAAAGAGAGATGTAAACTTGTCATTGACATTCTAATTTTTTTTAATATGTAAATAGAATTTGTAACTTTAAAAGAAATTGAGATGGTAATGTCAACAATGACAACATTATTTTGCTCACCATACGAGTCCACTCACCATATACGAGTGAGTTTTAATAAAATAAAAAGTATGCGGTTGATATTTATATCGAGACAATATGCTTTAAACAAAATGTTCTCCTTAAATGGAAACAGAAACGATACACGGACTAACAAGAAAAGTACACAAAAAACCGGGACAAAAGGAATAGATGAAAATTCATGCTGTAGTAGTATTAGTAGTAGGAGGATTACAACAATTTTCTCCAGGAGCCCAACGGCGGGAAAATGGCCATTAGCAGCCTCAGCAGCAGCGACGTTTCATTCTTCCTATTTCCTCTCCTCCTACCCAACTTGCCTTCGTCTTGATTCCGAACCCGCGACATTTTTTCAGGTGCTTCATTTGCAACCCTGGGGTGGTAATCATCAAGCTCATCCCATCCTCCAAAGCTCTGTTTGGTTGTCGCCTCGTTCTCATTTTCTGCCTTTTCTTCTCCTCCCCCTCTCCTTCTAACATCAGTGGTGGCATATGGCTGCTGTTTCTTTGTCCTGGTGGGCGGCTTTGGTCTGCGCCGGTCATAAGAGGACGTCCCTCCTGAAAATGTGTCAAGTAACAAGGAAAAGGCAGACTGGGCTAAGGGCAGAGCCAATGCCATGAAAATAGTGTTGGTGCCCCCATTTCCTCCTGAGAGCGTTGATACGATTACTGCAGGAACCATCCACCCAAAGGCTTTCAGCACCTGCACAAAATCAAATATCATTTGTTATGTCACTTCTCACTTGTCGATGAGGTTTCCGAGTATAGTATGGTCTTATTACAAGATCTTCACAAAAGTACGTTAAGCACATACGGTCCGAACTCTGATGAATTGAGACTCAATGGTTTTTCTCAGAGTCAGACCAACGAAAGGGGGAGAAGGGACGGATCACCTGTCGATCTGTGATCAAAGAAAACTATACCTGAAGAATGGGGGACAAAATATGGTCTTTTAAACCTGGTTGGAACTATTGAATGTGCTTTTGTCCATTTTGGACGATGTGAAGGTTTTCGGGCATAGTATGCTCTCATTACAAGATCTTCACAAGAATATGATTCAGACTTTGGTGAATTGAGACCCGGGATGATCTTTTGTAGAATTTGATGATTGATTGAAACATAGAAGCCAAATTAGGGATATGAAAAACAAAACTTCAAATGCTAATGCTTGTAATTACCTTGAATATCCACGAGAACCCAATTGAGCCCTCTAATGCCCCGAACCCGTCGAAATCTTCATCGTCGTCTCCGAATCCGTACTCACCTGAGGGTTCATCATCGGACCACCAATTCCTCTTATTCGCAGCGTCACCTGAGCCGAATCCCGCATCTCTTTCGCGGCCGCTAGCGCGGAACTCCTCGGCAAATCCGAATCTATGCTGGCGATTCCGAGTCCTGCTCTCCCACCTGGATCCGCCGCCGCCGCCACGCCCGTCATGCCTCGCGCAGAAGCAGACGGAAGAGGTCCGGTTGAGATTAGAAATGGCAGCGAGAGGGCAGGGGAACTGATAGGCAGGGGTTGAAGAAGTCATGGAGTAGAACTGTCATCGTTTGCCAACGACGACGGCACTATCTCAGTTTCTGTCACAGATTGAGACTATTTCATTTTGCACGGAGTACTCTCGAAGACGAATTTGATCCTGAGATTTTGACATTTGATTTTAATTATTTTTAATTTGGTTCCAATAGTCAATAAAATTAGGTAAAAGAAATAGATATATAATTTGACACTAAATAATACTCCGTAAGTGTAAATTTTTTTTGAAAAAAGACGAAGCATTATGTTTAGGTTATCTTTGAGTACCTGTATTATTAATGTTTGAATTTTTCAATATAGACATTCTAGATTTTGATTCCAGACTAAAATTAAATCTAATCAAATATTCTTAATTGATTTTCAAAGATGTTTGTCTTCCATCTTTCATGTCGAGCCAAGTGTGATTAGTTCTCTTCATCAACTAAATTTATAAGAAATAATTAAATAACTTAATTAGGAAGTTAGAAATAAACATGTCATAGCTCGACTAACAAAGTTCAGACAACTGTTTAATCTAAGTTGTCCAATTATGGGACCACACTCTAGTGAATCATATCAATACAGAACAGCAGTCAATTATTAAAAAGGTATACTTTATTGTTTCGATTGTGTCATCAGTGTTCTGCCTTGTTCGACCATTTTAAAGGAATAGTCCAAGTGCTAATTGGTCCAACGTATCCATGCTTTAAGGCAATGTTGTTTGATTAGGAGTTTAGATTTGCGCGGTTCAGCAACTCAACGAAACTTCAGCCACTTTGTACTACTTTGTCTGACGCTCCTTCGAGTTCCGATGCTCCAATTTTTGAAACAATTTCTTTTGCCCTTTTGCATCATTTGCCTTGAGATACATGTATATTATCATTTAATTAAGAATAAATTAAAACGACCTATATTCTTTTTTGATATACCTTCATGATGTCACCCGATAGTATGTTAGTTTCAAGACCATATGACCATGGTTAAAATTATCTCAAATATTTGTATGACCATGTCTCACAACTTGATAGCTTAATTAACATTACCCTACTAGAGAGTAAAGATATTGTTTCTAAGAGACACAAGGCTAGAAAAGAGTCACACACGTAGTAAAGCAGAGAGAAGGAATAAACAGAGTATCACACACCAATCAGAAGGTAGGTTGCATGAAGCACACAATTTGGCTCTTGTAGCGAGGCCTGAAGCACAAAACACAAAATCAGTCCCTACGGTTTAAGGTAGACACACGATGACACGAGCAAAAACTATTTGGGCGTTTCCATCTAAATTCATGTCTTCAATGAGCACTCTAAAAATTCCAAGAACTTAAAATTACATTAGATGGGCCTAGTTTTAAGGCAAATAGGAACCCGGTTGATCGTCATGTGAATATGGAGTTTAAGTGCGGATTTGGAGCCTAGCTTATCTTAATTGCCTCTTATGGATCTGGCCCATTTGAAACCAATATGAGATCACACCATCTTAATTGGTTTATATTGCATTACCAACTTTGACCTGATGGAGAAATACTTAACCAATTGGATATCATCCATCACCCAGGCTTACTCTCTTGGAATGCTTACTCGAGTGCTTCCTTCACAAGCTAGGGTCTCGATCTCTTCCTTAGCTGCAAGAGCATCAAAGCACTTTTCAACTCCAAGTTCTCCCTCACAACTCTAATGCTCATCTGATGAAGTCATCAACCAACTCAAAATACAATGCTAAGTTGTGAGAGCCTCATTCTTTTGGACTAAAACACTTTTCAACTCCATCCAACTTCTCCCTCACAACTTTGGCTACATTTGCTTTAAAGAGACATCCACATTTGATGATCTTAGAGTTCTCTTACATACGTGTTGGTTGATCACTTCATCAGATCAGCATTAAAGCTCTACACCCTTTTAGCACCCGCCTTTATTCAGATTATAATGGTTTATGTTCGGGCCATCTTACCATATCTTTATCAATGGCTTCGACCAGCAAGCTAAGATGAAAAAGAAAAAGAGGAAGAGCAAGCAGGACTCTCTTTACTTATTGTTATTTTACCATTTTGCAGATATGTTAAAATATAAGTTTACTTGGCTATTAAAACTAAAAAACCTTGTTACTTGAACATGTTTTTAATTATCAAATTTAAAAATAACCAACCTATACAAATACGGAGTATTTAGAATAATCTCAACTTTGCCCGGTCTTTCAAAAATAATCTCACATTTCACTGTGATAGAAAATAATCTCAACTTTACTGAAATTTGTGGCCGTTAAGCTGCTAACATCTGGTGAATGGAAATTACCTGCTTTGCGCAACAAAATGAAAGGTGTAATTATTTTTGATGAATTTTTGTTTTTTTTGAAATTTTCAAAAATGACTTTCTACCTTCTTAAATTCTTTTTCATTTTTTTAAATTACTCTTATCTCTGAAAAACAAAATGTTGCTACAAAAAATAACAAAATGAAAAAAAAAATCATACAAAATTATTTAAATAGAAAGATAATCAACAAAAAACTAACTTCAAACAGATAAGAAATAAAAATAAAAATTTACGAAGTTGTGAGTTTAATGTTTTAGACACTATACGGATTATTAATGTATTACTTTCTCCCCTTTCTAAAAAATGAAAATAAAAATAAAAAATAAAAAAAGTATATTCTTATTGAAACCCTAAAAATTGGAAATAAAAATTTAAAAAAATTCTTACTTCATGTAATTTCAATTTAGTTATTTCTTAATAAGAAATACAATTTTATATTTCTTGAGGGAATAATAAAATATTTTTTATTTCTTGTTTTTTGTTTTCATTTTTTATCTGCAGGGAAGTAATATGTTAATGTTAGAACTCACCGCTCCGTATATTTTTAACTTTGTTTCTTATGAGTTTGGGGTTAGTTTTTAATTATTTTCTTTTTATTTCATTAATTTTGTATGGTTTTAGTTGTTTTCCTCATTTTTGTGATTTGTATATCTATTTTTTATATTTTTGTGGGTAAGAGTAATATTTAAAAAAGGAAAAAAATAATGGGGGTAAAAAGTCTTTTTAAAAATTTAAGGTAAAATTTAAAAAAATAAAAATAAAAATGAAAAATCATCAAAAATAATTTAAAATTTTATTTTGTTGCGCAAAACAAGTTTTGTTAACCATCCGTTATCAGCTTAACAATGAATCAAACTCGTAAATTTCAGTAAATTTGAAATTATTCCCTCCGTTTGCAAAAAAACTTCCCATTTTGATTTGGGGCAAAAATAAGGAAGTGTTAAATTATACGGAGTAGTTGATTTTTAATTTTTCCCCTGATGTGATGGGTAAAAATAAAATGTGATGGATAGATTATTAGAGGAAAAAAAAGATGTAATAGGAAGGGTATGAAAAAGTAGGGGTAAAAGTGGTTTTTTAATAGAAAAGAGAAGTGTTTTGTTGGAAGTGGAAAAAATGAAAAAAGAAGTGTTTTTTAAAACAAAGGGAATATTTTATATTAGAATCAAAATGGTTTTTTAAAGACGGAGTAAAATTAGAATTATTGTGGACGGAGTAATATTTTCCTATTTAAAAATAGACTCAAGTTATGTAAGGATGAAAATGAACAGAAAAATTGAAGGCCCAATTCCCTTACTTCACTTCACCTACTAGATTGATTGCAAAGAGAAAAAGTTAAAAAGAGAGAAATCGTAAATGTAAAAAAGAAAATCACAAATTCCTCCCCTACAAAAATGGGATATCAAATTTAGCACCTTTCTTCTTCTTCCTGGATGGATTTCTTTCCAGAATGCCTTTCTATTCCAATTCTTGGATTTTAACCTCAATTATTACACGAGTTACTCAGTAATGAATGAATAATAAAAAAAAAAACCCCATTTATTTATTTATTTTTAAAAAGAGGAAAACCCTCGAACTTGAATCCCCCGGATTTTCAGTATATATTCAAAAAGCAGTCGAATTTCTAGATGCGCCTCTCTGTCCTGTCGTCCCGAATTCTTAGATTGAATCCCCAACGAGTTCTCCGGCACCCATTTTACCCTTATCTCCGCCGATCATCGGCCGCCTCTTCTAGTGGCGGCGGCGGCGGCGGCGGCAGTGACTCCGCAACCGCCAACTGTTCTTCTGAAATGGCGTCGGCGAGTTTGAAACCGGCTGTGGCCGGGAATCCGAAACTACTCCCGAGGGAGTTGAATGAAGTGGTCGGCATCGCGAGGAAGTGCTGGATCAAGTTCAAGAAGGAGGCCGCGTTCGCAATCTTCACTCCTTTCATCGTTTCTCTGGCTTCTGGAAATCTCAAGCTCGAGACGTTTAGGCATTGCGTCGCACAGGACGCTCATTTCCTCAAACCCTTCGCTCAAGCGTAATTTCTTATTCTTCTTCTTTTTTTCTTTATTTGGAAAAAGAAAAGCAACTGCTATAATCTTATTCCTGTTTGGATTCTACTTTAATCTATCCTTATCTTTCTTTGCTTTATCTATGGTTTTTCCTTTTCTTTAATTCTTTTAGGTTATGTATTCACTGTTCTTCATTCTTTTGTACATAGTATTCTTATTTATCTGGAAAGAATTGTGGACTGGGTATCTTCATGGATTTGATAGTTTTTCTGCAAGTTATTGGGAAGTTCTTATGCCTCTGGTTTAGTGCTCATTTTTTGGAAGAGAATGCCTATTGCATTTCTTGATTCGATATGTTAACATTGTTAGTCTGCAAGATGATATCATGAAAGAGTTCATTTCTTTAATATCCATAATACTTGTTTTTGTATTGTCCACATTTGGCGTATAGAAAGCCATTGTAAGTTGCAAATATCTAACGGGCAATGAATAATTGACTATCGTGTATTGCAGATTTGAAGTTGCAGAAGATTGTGCAGAGGATGATGACGCAAAGATTGGGATTAATGAGTTGAAGAAGGTTACCCTTAACAAGCTCAAAATGCATGATTCTTTCGCCGAGGTAAAAGAGTCATTCTGTTTCTTCACATGCTTTCAGATGCTAGATCAGTTCAATAAATATTTGGATTTTTCGAATTTACCGGTTTGTGATTGAAATGGACAGGAATGGGGGATTGACCCCGTGAAAGATGCTACTCTGAATCCAGCAACTACCAAGTGCATAGATTTCCTATTGGCTACAGCATCGGGAAAGATTGAAGGTGCCAAAGCTTCTGGCAAACTTGTGACTCCCTTTGAGAAAACCAAGTTGTCTGCTTACACCCTTGGTGCCATGACTCCTTGCATGAGCCTTTATGCCTACATTGGTAAGGAGCTGCAGATTTTCATTGATGGTGAAAGTAATCATCCCTACAAGAAGTGGATTGAAAGCTACTCCTCAGATAGTTTCCAGGTTCAGTCATTATCATGTTCTTCTTTGAACCTAATTATAAATCTCTCTTTTTCTTTACTTGATTATTTAGGATATATCACTAGAATTGAGGAATATTTATGTTTATAAATTTATGGATCCCTCTTTTGTAGACTTGGCAGTATAAAAAGGTTTTACATAGTTAATGCTTCCATTGGGAGTTTCAAATAGTCAGTGCAAGAATGATGTTGGGGATCTACTGATAATTAAAGCAAATGCTTCTCTTTTTAATTAAATACTCTTAAAACATCAACTAATTAAAGGCAAATGGAAATGCTAAAACATCAAGTAAACAAGAGGGGGCATTAATTTTACCATAGAGGTTCCAAATCTCATCTATATTTGTTTATATAGGCATTTGCATTGCAAACAGAGGAGTTGCTGGACAAGTTAAGCGTTTCTTTGACCGGGGAAGAGCTTGATGTCATTGAAAAACTTTATTATCAAGGAATTAAACGTGAGATTGACTTTTTCTTAGCTCAGCCGCTTGAACAGAAATGTGTGGTACCCCTCTATGGAGAGCCCAATGATCTAGAAAAGCGCCACCTGATGATATTTTCTGATTTTGATTTGACGTGCACTACCATAGACTCATCTGCCATCTTGGCTGAAATTGCAATTGTAACAGCTCCAAAATCTGATCAAAGCCAAACAGCAAATCAAATTGCCCGTATGACATCGGCTGATCTTAGAAACACTTGGGGAGTTCTCTCCAAGAACTACACAGAAGACTATGAGCAGTGTATAGAGAGCATGCTGGTCTCCGAAAAAGGTCATTTATGGTTCCTTTTAATCTAATTGCTTGTGATTGGTAATTGATGGCCTTGCCCCCACCGTGCAATTAGCTGATATTTGATTTTTTTCATTTGCAGCTGAGAAGTTTAATTATGAAGCATTGCGAAAAGCACTTGAAAAACTCTCGGAATTTGAGAAAGTAGAAAATCAAAGGGTGATTGATTCAGGAGTGCTTAAGGGTCTTAATCTGGAAGACATAAAACGAGCTGGGGAACGGTTGATGCTCCAGGATGGTTGTATCAATTTCTTTCAAACTCTGTTGCTAAGGAAGAAAAATCTGAATGCAGATGTTCATGTGCTCTCCTATTGCTGGTGTGGTGACCTCATTAGATCTACCTTCTCATCGGGTATGTGGTAGGAGTTTATTTGGTTTCCTCTGAATCGGCTAATATTTAAGCAGTTCCAAGCGTAAAGAACTTACACTATGTTTGGTTCAATGAAATTGAGAGGGAAAGGAATAAGAAAATGAGAAGAAAACCCTTTTTCTTGTTTGGTTAGAGAGGAAAAGAAAAGAAAAGTGGAAAGAAAAGAAAATGAGAAGGCAAAATGTACTAAGAGGATGAAAAACCAAATTCCTCCCATTTTGGTGAGGAAACTAAAGGAAAACCATTTTCTTTTCTTTTCCTTCCAAACTCCTTGAACCAAACATAGTGTTAAAGTTTCATCTAGGAAATCCTATTTTACATCTTTTCTTAGTCTGTTTGGGTGAATGAAATGTTTATACAATACGGAATAACTATTCTGTTTGAGAAGGTTTGTCTGACTAAAACCGTTGTCTTGCCATCTATGTCAACTCTACTGCTAGGGGGTTTAAGTGATCAAATGAAAGTGCATGCAAATGAGTTCAAATATGAGGAATCTTTATGCACGGGTGAGATTGTGAAGAAGATGGAGTCCCCCATTGACAAGGTTCAAGCTTTCAGTGAAATCCTGCAACAGAGCTGCAGTGGTGATGGGGATGAGAGGAGGAAGAAGAAGAGACTGACGGTTTACATTGGGGATTCGGTAGGGGACTTGCTTTGCTTGCTTGAAGCTGATGTGGGAATCGTGGTGGGTTCAAGCTCGAGCTTAAGAAGGGTTGGGAACCATTTTGGGGTCAAATTCGTCCCACTGTTTCCCGGCGTGGTTGAGAAGCAGAAGGCATACCCTGCAGAGGGTGGTGGTGACCCTTGGAAGGGGCTGTCCGGCGTTCTTTACACTGCATCTGGCTGGTCTGAGATACATGCTTTTCTTATCGGCTCTTAGGTTTTGTTTTCGTTTTTTCAAAGAAAAAAATCTGTACTACGTAAGACGAAAAAAATTGTTAATAGAATTATAGAAATGAGATATGTACATGTTGATGGCCAATTTTATCGCAGGCCACGCCCCGCAACAACATTGCTCTTATCTCCCCTTTTGTTTTTTCCTTGTAGACATGATAGTAAAAAAAAAGTGGCAATTGTGCTTATTTGTGCTCTGAAATGTAAATGTGATTCATTTGGCTGGAGGTCTATACCATTTCTTTTTTGCTTCAAATGAAGTACTATGTAAAGAGTGCAAACACTTGGTAAATAATTGAGTTTTTAAAAAAAAGCATTCTATAAGTAAATAATTGAGTTTATGCAGCATTAGTTATATCATAAAAGCATCCAAACTCTCTTCTACTATGGATTTAGCTTCTACTACCTCTCTCCATGATTATTTGTCCAATTTTAACTTTTTAATGAATCATTTTTAACCTTTGACTCATAATTAAATAAAATATATATTGTATATTAATTAAATAAAATTATATTTTGAAAATATTTCATATAATACATCTAATAAAATTATTTTTATTAGATATTTTTATACATCTAATAAAATTACATCTAATAATATATTTTGTATCAATATCATATACTCCTTCCGTCCCTGGAAATCTTTTTTCTTTCTTTTTTCATCCGTTTCAAAAAACATTTCTTATTTATATTAAAAAGTTACTTTTACCCATTACTTTTTCATATCTTACCTATTACATCATACTCCGGTACATTTTTACTAATAATTTACCCATCAAATCCTACTTTTATCCATCACATCGAAGGACTTTTTTGGAAATTCAATACCAAAATACATTTCCCTTACATCTTTTAAAAATCAATAACTCTCATTTTTTTAGGATCAGAGGGAATATTATTTTTATTTAATTTGAAATCAAAATTTACCAATTTTAACTAAAAAGATCAAAAGTGAACAAATATTCAGAGACGGAGGTTGTATTAACGATGTGCAGTGGTATTGTCACCATGAGGCTTGTTTTAATTTTTTCAATAAGTGCATACCAAAAATAAGCAAACAAATGACAATATTCTATATTAATGGGATAATATTTTGTTGAACGTAGTTAGAAAATCCATTCCCATGACATTGGAACCTCATGTCATGCGATGACTCAGGGGCGTTACGACACCCTGTTTGTAAAATTAACAGTTTCGACCCCCTAAGCCCCCACCCCAGCCCACCCGAACACACCTCCCACCCCTTTCAATTGCACCTCCAAGTTAATTTTTACTTTAGAGACTCCCTATTAAAAAATAACCTTAGGTGAAAAAAGTTTAGTCCATCTAATCATATCTTTAAACAGCTATCTCTCACATTTAATTAAATTTAAAAATAAAAAATATTAATAATCACATAATTACTACTCAGTGGGTCTATGACTACACCATTTTTAAGCCATAGAATCTTTTGATGAGATAGCCGTCACATGTCGCATAATGCCCCTTTAAGGGGTTCTATGACCACAAATGATCTAAACAAACTCAAGAAGTGCAATCAAATCGGGACCCGAGTTCCCAACTCATCATCTAATAGTGTCAAATTCAAGTCCACCAAACACTTTCCTCTTTCCATGATTCTTAGTTATGGTCTTATGGATGAGTATAAAAGAAAAGTGTGATGGAACAACAATCAATAAGATTTTTTCCCACAAACAATAAATGTAGTAGAAAAATGTTGAAGTCCCCTCAACTCTCACCCCGCCTTTTCCCTAGTATGGTCCAATGTAGTACTCCGTAATACTTGTCGCAGTTTGTCTATAAAAAGTTTAAAAACTGAAAGTTATCTGATCATCCCGCGCAATGCAAGAGAAGTAACAAGTTATGGGTGAAGATCAGGATGACTCGGCGAGGCGGTACAATGTGATTTCCTGTTGCTTGAAATAACGCCGGTCTTCTTCGTCAACAAGAACAAGGTTCAAATAGTACTTCACATTGAACTTATTGTTGGTGTTCCGAAATGTCGGTGTCAGTTCATATGGGCTGAGGAAGAGTCTGATTGGTATTGATTCCCCTGAGAGAAAGCAAAAGCCAGCACACACAAATTTATTACCAATAGTAAACATACAACACCAGCCTACCAAGTTCACAGGTGGGGGATGATGATAGTGATGATGGTGATCATCATCATCATGAGAGACTTAAACCTTTGTTTTGGTTGGGACAAATTTGGGTATTTATATCTTTTATTTGGTGGTTTGACTAAATTTAACCCACCCAATTTGATTGGGCACTTTATTTCATAAATAAACATTGAATACGAGCAAAATTAGTTTCCTATATTAATATTGGACGATTCTTTTTATGAGATAGAGTATCACATTGTTACATATTTTTCCAAAATAATATTTCCTCTCCTCTCCGCTCACTCATTAATCAAACATTATTTTTTTCAACCTCATTGATTTTCCTCCCATCTCATTCCCTCTTTTACCCTCTCATCGCATAGCCTCTTTTGGACCAACCAATGGCCAAAGAATTGATAATTCTATATGACCAAAGCTCCTAAATTCAAGGGGAAAAAAATTATCATGCATTCTAATAATCCCATGAAACTTGAGGAATAAAAATAGATTCATATATGTATACCTCTTACAGGAGCACCATCCATCAACTCAAACTTTGCAAGGGTCTCTGTCTCCACATGTGTATTGGCCCCTGAACCCGTAGATTCTCTACGTCTGATCTCAAGATCCATATTTTTAATCTTGATACGCACAAGAAGGAAATATATTTTGCCAATAATAACATCTTTCAAATGATACCTGTGTTTGTTGACAATATAAGTTTTGAGCACAGATGCTACTCCGTATAAATTATTGTGCAGAAGTCTTTTTAGGAAACTACATACTCCCTTTGTCCCTAAATAAACTTCCCCCTTCGTTTTTTCTTTGTCCCCAAATAAACTTCTCTTTTCCCTTAAAAAACCCCTTTTACCCCTTACTTTTTCATACGCTACCTATCACATCATACCTTTTTACTAATAATATATATATATATATCACATCTTATTTTACACATCACATCAAGGGTATTTTTGGAAAGTCACCACAAAAATATCCCTCCCTTAAATCCTCAAAAAGTCAAAAAGAGAAGTTTATTTAGGGACGGAGGGAGTAGTAAACTTGACTCACTTGCTCTTGTTGTACTCAAACTCAATATGAAGACAATCTTCTATTCCAACTTCCATCTACAAGATTCGCATGAAGGATGAATAAAGCTTAGTTTACTCTATTGGCCTAGACAAGGAAAATCTGTGTTTGAGTTGACAGGTTGACTACTTTTTAACAGGAGTATTTTGGTTAAGAGTGCAATTGGACAAAAAGATCAGGTGTTTGGCATTTTTAATGAATTAATCAAGTGTTTTGGACGATAATGATAAAGAACTAAAGATGATTCTAAGGAGTAGAAAAAGAGCTCTCAAGTTAAACCACTTCTGGAAACAGGCTAAACATTTATAACTATAAGAATTTAGATCATCTAGAAGCACACACTTCTAGAATCTCAAAGAGCTATGACAAAAAGAGCCCAACTCATGAGATCAGTGATTCAATCGATAAATATAGACTTCCTATAGTTTTTATAGGAATGGTACTCTATACCTTAATACTATTGTTGATTGGTGGAGGTGGGTGATAGTTGCGCACCTGAATCATAGATGTCAAAATATTTAAACAACAAGCACCAATTATGTAGGGTGTAAAACAAAGGAAGGATTAAAAAAAGAGTTAAAGCACTAAGCTTGAAGTTATCAAAATGAAGCAATAAAAATAAATAGAGAGCATATATTACCACAAAGTCCTGGTATTCTAGGATGCTGCCAGCATAGCTTCGACTCATTGTCACTTTGAGAACATACCTAAACCATCAGAAAGTTAAATTCCAAAAATAGGTTTGCGAATAATTTATCATATAGCATCTATGTGCCCATTTTTTCTTTCTCCTGATTTCTGTTATTTAAAATGGATTAAAAGAGCTATGCATGTGTAAGTTAATATGTAGTAGTTTACAAGAGAACCAACAACCTCTAAATTGGATAGCAAACAATTAAGCCTCACTAAGATTGGTCCTAGTGATGTTCAAACCCTCGACATATGAGCCCCTGCCCAAATGTCACTTCCCTTTTTGTAAAGCCTAGAGGTGATCACATATTGTGCATGTACATGCATGTGTAGAGAGAGAAAGAATAAGGCATTATGTTGTCAACAGCTGTATGCAAATAAAATAAAATAGAAGCCTGTAAGGCGGGTAATTAATGACTCAAATTTATTTTAAAAGTTCATAAAAGAATATACATAGAGTATAATGTAAAGCCACGAGCAAAAGATAAATGTCTATAATTCTATATACGTGAAATGAAAATTTACCTAAGACGAACATTTGCCCCATTGTATGATTCATACGGCATTTCAACAGTTGAAAACTCGAACGGGTAAGTTTTCCTTTCGTATAATTCACCAGGAACATCTAGCTCCCGAACTACAAGGAAGCAATCAGACATTAAAGAAGAAAAAATGATTTCTACTTATTAGCATATCTGACTCTGAAATGACAATCAATGTGCTAAAAATGGTGATGAGAAACAGCTTTAAAAACCAATAGAAAAATGTCAGATGGATAACAACTAAGAAATAAAGCAAGATGTATAAACTGATGGTACACCAAAACCAGATCATAAAGCAGTGGAAATAACCTACTCACCCAGTGAGGTAAAGTCATAGAAGTTCCCTTTATCAGAGTATATTTCTGAAAGCAACAAAGAAAAGAAATTTATAAACTATGCTTAATATAAAGGTAGAAGGAGAAAATCTACTATTGCATCAAGAAATGATAAAGTAGAACAGCTGTTTGGCCTCGACTACACATGTATAGTTGTATAAGTATAAGCTATGAAGTACTTTATCTATGGGTGAAGCCCAACCTATTTGACCAAGCAGCTCAACTTTGATCCCATTGTGTTCAACCTTCTTCCCTGATATTGGCTCAATTGATATCTAAGAGAACATCAGAAATTATAATTTCAAATAAGTTCCAAATAATGCTTGAGGTAAGTGAAACAGAAATTGGAGGGGTGACATACTCTAGACTACCTTCCCAGAAATATTTTCTTGACTATGAAAAAGTGGGACCATAACTGTTTGTCCATTTTCCTTCTTCAATTGGACCTGAGAAAGTATACAAAAATGAAATGAAAAAAGAGCAGCATGCACCCATCCGATGTGCATCACAGTCAACTAACAAGAACTAGAAAGCTCATTTTTGGGTATTTAGGAGTTGGAAAAATGTCTCTTATTACAGCCTTCAAATCTCCTATAATTGCACGAAATTCATTCCAACCTTACAGCTTTCCGATGTATCGTATTGGTGGACACACACACACACACACACACACAACTCATGCTTCACTATTTGACTTGGATGAAAATGTAAACACACCTGCTTCCGTGACTTTCCATCAGTAAATGTGATTACAATGTGGCATGCCGGCTTAAAAGCTCCAAGTATATAATTCTGCAACCAGAAGAGTCATCAATTTCAATTACGTGATGCAACAATGTAGAAAAAAATTAAATGCAAATAAACATGTTTGTGAAGCATTACCATTCTATTATCGAACGAACTCCACTCCAAAGTTCTTCAAATTTCCTGCTTCTTTGGGTGATCAGGATTAATCCATGGCAATACTAATACCAATGCTGACATTTGAAGAAATGAAAACCTACTCCGTATGTAAGATCGGCACAGAAAATTTTCAGAAACGAATACTTGAACCGGTAAAATTCTCCAATATAACAGCACAGATCAGGAAATCGCGACAAGCGAACATTCACACTACTCTTGAGTCCATGAATCAAAATAATACTCGCTAGATTTCGGAAGGAAATGGAAGGGTTTGCGAATTATCAAGAGCAAAGATGGTCCAGTGGGTGATTGGGTGTTCTCGTCGGAAGGGATGAAGTGGAGAAGCAGGTGTAAAGAGCCATACCTGTGTGGACTGTGAAGATTATCGATCGATTGAATCGAGAAAGGCTTATTTTCTCCGCCGATTTATTTTGTTCGCCTGACAAATAACAACACAACCAAAAAAAATGAAAGCTTCAAAATTACAGTTAAATCGTACTCCATACTAACTTCAGTACTCTTTCATTTTTTTCTATTTTGATTTTATAATCAATTTTTTTCGATTTTGATTATAAATTATTAAAAAATATATATTGAACTCTTATATAAATTTAGTATTAATAAGTTGATTTTAAACCTAGTTAGTGTGATATTAACAATTTCTTGATACATTGAAGAATGAATAAACGTAAATATACTTTCTGATTAGGTTTGTCAATTTTTAATGTATCAAAAAATGTTTATAGACAGTTAGTTAATATGAAATAAATAGAGTATCTTTTTATAAAATATAAATATTCATAGTCAAAGTTTTAGTTTTATATTAAACACGGTGAAAAGTCGGAAGTTTCAAAGATATAAAATTTGTAGGAGGGAGACTATGTTTTATTTACTTGATCTGAATGGTTCTGATCTGATTGAAATAAGTTCTAATCTGATTTGATTTGAATGTAATTATGATTAAAACTGAGTAAATTTTATAATTGGTCCTTTATAACAGGGGGGTTTCCTTATTTAGTCCTCTATTATCAAATATTACCCTAATGGTCCTTCTTTTATGGGTACCTTTCCACAAATAGTCCTTTTTTGATCTTATATCATATCGGTGTTAATTTGAGGGCTAAAAGTGTAATTTCACAATGATAATATATCTTTTTTGTCATACACAATTCCAAAGGCTGTTCCGTTTGTGTTGTTTGTGAATTACAGTCGCTTTTTACGACAACGATAGTCTACAAATTTGATCTTTCGTCAGAATCCTAGTCCACAATCATAGTCATTATTTTTGTGTTATCCGCTTAACCAATATCAGAACACGTCACTAGATATAATGTTGATGTCAAATTATACCTTTAGTCTTTAAATTAACACCAACACGGCAGAAGATCAAAAAAAGGACCATTTATGGAAAGGTACCCTTAAAAAAAGGACTACGGGAGTAATATTTGATAATAAAGGACTAAATATGGAAACCCCCCTGTTATAAAGGACTAATTATGGAATTTACTCATTAAAACTGCTTCTGATTTAATTCCAATAAGAATAAGTAATAAGTAAAAAAATAAGTTAAGGAGAAGATGACTAGAGTAGTTGAAAATTTTTACCATATAGTTCCAACAATATCCTTGTAGAGTGTTAAGAAAAATTAAATCTTACCATTTATGTAAGAGTACGTCTAAAATGATACAAGTGTTGCTAGTGTCATTTGCCTACACCATTTCGTTTGGGGCATTTATGATATTTCGTTCGTAAAAACAATGATTCCTACCTCCCCTAACGCTCACTTTAAACCCTCCACCTTTGTTCCCTCCCACATTGACAGTACTGCCAGAGACGGGAGGAGGGGGGGCAGGGATAGGGTGCAAGGTGGAGCTAGAGTAAAGGGTTTAGAGGAAAGGTTAGGAAGGTAGGAGCAATTATTTTTATGAATAGGACATCGTAAGTGCCCTAACCAAACTGGTGTACACAATTAGTGTTTAAGTAACTGGTGTTATTTTAGATATTCTCTTTAAATAAATATCATACAACATTAATCAATCACTTAGTAAAACAATCAGTTTACACCAATTAATATTTTCACGAAATCACTTAGTAAAACAATCAATTTACACCAACATTAATTAATCACTTAGTAAAACAATCAATTTACACATTCTTGGAGGGTATTCGAGATCGTTCAATTTAAAAAAATGATTATTTTAATCACATAATCTAAAAATAGTTCAAAATAACTTTTTAACTTATGCTTTTTCATCTCTACAAAAGTTGAGAATCATAATACAATGTAAGCTGATTCATTCAAAACAAAAGTTAAAAATTATTTTTAAAAGCACAAACACACATTCTCTTAATCAATCATCATAACTTTGGTGATACATTAAAAATTAAACGAACATGAATATATAACATTTATTACATACATATGTGTTTTAGCCTATCAGAAAAATCGTAATGATGAATAAAAATACGAAGCAAAGACACAAAATGTACTAATTTGAGGAGAAATTACACCAAAATTTTTACACAAAAGAACAGCTTGGACTAATAGGTTACAACATCAATAATATTATGATGGTGATGATAATGACAACTTAAATCCCTCAAAAATCTCATTTCCCAACTGGGCTCGCGCTAAATCTCGTGTTAAAAGAGAGAGTATTAATATATATACGGAGTAATCAAATTTTAATTAGTGTAATTAGCTGCGATTAATGAACTTAATCCGGCTTCTTTCTGGATTTATTGCTGGCCTTATTCGTAACTCTACTCCCGTTACCGTTACCGTTTCCGTTTCCGGCCCCGCAAACTATGGTGAACTCGAACCCGTAAGCGTTCGCGAAGCACTTGATGGCGCCGTCCTTTTCCTGCCCTCCCGGCTTCGCAACCGCTTTCCCCGGCCCCGCCGTCCTCCACCGTTCCACGCTCACCGTGTTCATCCCTTTCGCCGCCGTTTCCTCCGCCGTCATGTCCTCCAGTATCAAGCTCTCCTCCCCGTCCTCGCATCTCGCCTTCCCCCTTCTCGCCGGCGGCGGTTCCTTGGGAGGAACCGGCGACAGCTGCGACTTCCTGAGTATCTCCGCCGCCACGATGGAAGCCGACGGACCGATGTCGGAGCAAACTTCCGACCCGTAGTTGACCATTGACCCGTTGCACACCGATCCGTTAACCATCGATCCCGGCTTGCCGGGGAAATCTACGTTGACATCTGACAGGCCTTCGCTCATCGCTCGCCATTGTTGGATTTTGGCGTTCAATTTCTGTTTCTCCTCGTCTTCATCTTCGTCGACGTCGTCGCAATCCGGCACGCTCAACCCTATCCTTTTCGTTTTTAGGTCCAACATATCCCCCCGATTGGAATTGCTGAAGATCATAGGGTTAATCAGGGAAACAGCCAAATTCAGAATTCCCTGATGATTCCCGGACGGGCGGCGAACCTGGAGAGCGATAAATCTCTGGCCATTGACGGCCATGGGAGTGATGAGATTGCTCATCGCAACGCGGACGGTGCCGACGAGGGCGTCGCGGAACCAGGAGGAGGTGTAGATCTCGACATGGACGGCGGAATGATCGGAGCAGAGGAAGTCGTCGTTGACGCGAAACGAGAATTTGTCGTTCCAGGCGGGGCTGGTGTGGCCGTCTTGATCGATCCCGGTGGATCGCTTCCGGTTAGGGTGGATCCAGATGAGGGCGTAAGTGCGGAGGGGCTTGGAGACGGGGGAGAGGTCTCGGGCGGAGATGAGGCAGATCTCGAGAATGCGGTGGCTGGGTGGAGGCTGGAAGGTGACGGCGGAGCCGGTGAGGGTAGAATCCACCGGCGTCGGGTTGGTAGGATTCATATCTACACCGCCCGCGACGACGGAGACCATACGGCTAAGGGATTGGCATCAATAATAGTATAGGGAGGCGAAAGTGGGAAAAGAGTCTCTGCAAATGGTTGAGAGAGGTCTTAGAGGAGACCGTTTTTTCCTCGTGAGATTTTCTACCACTCTTTTTTCTGCGGATGGTCTTGCCATGCACTAATTTCCATTTGGAGGAAGAAAAATAGAGTAATTCCCAAAATGTGTTTGAGAAAATTACTAGATATACAAATGATAATCGTCTATGAATATTTGAAAAATTACAAAGTCGACCGATGATAAACGTCAGTATATATACACATTTACAAACAATTGTGAATGGGAGTGTCGATTGTGGTGTGTTTCTAGCATTAATCATTATAAAGAGTGAGATAATAAATAATGCATGTATACAAATAATTATTGTCACAAATATTGTTAGCATGCGTTTATGAGAAATTACTTCTTAAAATATGTCTTTTTAGGGTCAACTTAAAGGGTGTATTCAATCCGGATTTTTAAAGATTCTGACAGATTATTTTGAATTCATGGATTCTGTAAAGTCAGTGGATTATTTAAAATCTGTGTGGAGTTATATAGATTTTGATGTATTTTGTTAGCAGGATTTTATAAGATTGTGATAGATTGCTTAACTTGGGGTACGCTGATGACTACGAAATTGGTGTTGTACGAAGAAAACTCGATGCTGCACGAAATTGACATGTTCTTCCTTCGGATCTGTCTGCTGATGACGAAAGATGGGACCAAATTATATTTAATGAAGAGACCCACGACAAAGGAGGCTGGTGAATTTGGTGACGGCCTTGGTGCATTCAGACAACGTGCTTGGCCAATTCTCGAAGAACTAATCGCACGGCGGTCTGGATCTCGCGGGAATTGATGGTGGGCTGCTGTTTTCCTTCGCCGGCAAGAAGAAGGCCGGTGACGACGATTTATCTGGGCAAAGGTCCGTGCGGCGGCGCACGTTGGAGAAGAGAAGCACAGGAGAGATGTTAGGGTTTTAGGAACCGAAGAACAGCACCCTTCCGTTGGGGTTCCGAGCTCCGGCGACTTGGCAGAAGAACAGGGCAGGGAAGAACGCAAGAGAAGATGAAGAATGACTTCCCGCTGAAAGAGAATAGGAGTGGGCAAAATCTCAGGGTATTTGATTGGATTTGTAAATTGGATTTGTATTTATACCCAAGGCATGAAAATCCATCAAAATCCACAACTTTTTAAATCTTTAAAAATTCATCAATTTTTGAATACTATCATATTTAGACAGATTTTTTAAAGTTTGAATTAAATACACCCAGATTTTAAATGGATTTTTAAATTCTGAAATGAATACCTACGGATTTTCAGAATCCAAAAAAATATATCAAAATCCGGATTGAATACACCCACCTTAGTGTGTTTCTTCTTTTTTAAAAAAATATGCTTCTTGGTAAGCTTAGCTTGATACAAAGTATTTGTGTATGTAACTTAAATGATGATTTCTTACAAAATTTGAAGAATTACATTTATTTTAATATAAAGTTATTGATTTTTGTGCAAAAAACTTACACTCAATATTGATAAAGACTTCTTTAAAAATTACTCTTGAAACAATATACTTGGGCCCAATTCAACCCCAAAAGTTAACTCAAGAGGTTGATGTACCAAGCTATTAAATAGCAGCACAATATAATGCTGCATAGCCGATGTGGGATGAACAAGTCAACACGTTGGGTACCTCAACCTCTTGAGTTAACTTTTGAGGTTGAATTGGGCCCAAGTCTATTGTTTCAACATGGTATCGGAGCTAGGCCATTGATGTTGGGACCGCGCCCGCAGTAATCTGCGCCTCGTGTGAGGGGGGCGTGTTGACTTGTTCATCCCATATCGGCTATGCAGCCTTATATTGTGCTGCTATTTAATAGCTTGGGTACCTCAACCTCTTGAGTTAACTTTTGGGGTTGAATTGGGCCCAAGTCTATTGTTTCAACATGGTATCGGAGCTAGGCCATTGATGTTGGAACCGCGCCCGCAGTAATCTGCGCCTCGTGTGAGGGGGGCGTGTTGACTTGTTCATCCCACATCGGCTATGCAGCCTTATATTGTGCTGCTATTTAATAGCTTGGGTACCTCAACCTTTTGAGTTAACTTTTGGGGTTGAATTGGACCCAAGTCTATTGTTTCAACAATTACTCATGATAGAAGCAAAATATAATTCTTATCGTCACTACCCCATTCACCATGTCGCACTTCATTCTTTGGGGCGTGGCCCCTGCCCGTGTGAGGGCCATCCCTCCGTGACTTTGCTTGTTTTTGTTTTAATTTCAATCAATTAAAATAATTCGATCTTCATTCAATTATTTTTTTGTCATGCCTCCTTTC